TTAGCGCTGTGGGGGAAGGGCCTGCTCTGTCCTGTCTCCAGGGTACCCTCTGTGTTTGACGTCTCTAAAGTTACACCATGGCTGCTGGAGCTCTAGCCTCTATGTCAACATCCCATCAGCCTGTGGTAGGAAGGCCACCATCCCACCTGACTCTAGTCTTACTGCCCCAGTCCCCTCCCAGCTCAGGTACCAGCTTCACACTGAGTCACAGTAGCCATGGCTTACATTCTGAGATGTACCCTGAGAGAGGCATAACCAGCATGGCCAGAGGAGAGGAAGGATGTCATGTGCACCAGCCCCCAGTCTATGTGGGAAGAGCCTGGCCAATGTCCATCTACAGCACACAGGAAGAGAGGACAGCCATTCCCTTAGAATGAACACAAGGAAGCCCAGAGAGCTCCAAAAGCAGGCAGGGACCACAGAGCAGGAGGCCGCATGCAACCTAGCTGAGCTCTTATCTGCAAACCCGAAGGATGCAGAAGTGGCTGTGGGGCCAATTACAGCTGAACTGGAGGCAGGAGGCACCAACATCCTGATTCCCTGGACAGACTCCTTTAGGCCCATCCTTCTTCCTGATTAAATCTCCTCTAAGTGCAGCCTTCCTAAGGGAGAGAGAGAGCTAACAGCTTGCAGCTTGCAAGGGCCACAGGTGGCATCCCCTGGAGCCCTGCCTCAGCTCCAAGCTAGAGATGATGTATGGTGCAGTCCTTCCTGCCATAGTGCTATCCTGGGGCCCCTGCAGTGACCCTCAGGGCCCTGCTCTCTCCCAGTAGTGGCCCCAGCGGTGCATAGGGGGCATTCCATGGTGCATCCAAGAGCAGCTGTGCTGCAGTCAGGGACCTGGGTCTCTCTTAGCCACCCTCACCTACCAGCTCTAGCTAGAAACTTCTCTGTAACACACCTGTGGGCTCTGAAATTGACAACGTCATGTCCCTGGGAAATAGAGACAGTCACCCTTGTAGCTCAGGGACTGCTATGCCAGCCCCTAGGGAGAGCAAAATGACAGAGATGGAGCCTGGAGTGGTGTGGCACACGCCTTCAATCCTAGCACTCAGGAAGCAGAGGCAGCCAGATCTCTGAGTTCAAGGCCAGCCTGATCTACAGAAAGCGTTCCAGGATAGCCAGGGCTACACAGGGAAACCCTGGCTTAAAAACCAAATAAATAAAAAGTCTCTGTGGTTAATAATCTTAAGCTCCATCGTGGAAAAGAAATAAAGCATGCAAGACAGATGGGAGAGGTCAATAGGAAGGCATAAAAGTGACTATCAGGATGGAATGCCTCCACTTAAAGCTCTTCCACAGCAACACAGAGGCTTCTGATGGCCACGGAGACTCCAGACAAACCAGGAAAGAAGTGGCTTGTTTGTAAACAGACTGAGAAAACTTCCCAAACAGAAAAGAAGGTGTTTTAAGAGCATGGGTTGTGGGGGAGGTCTGGGAGGCAGCTATGAAAGAGGAAGGTGTGTGACCTGGGAAGAGAGTGCAGTGTGTGTGTGTGTGTGTGTGTGTGTGCGCGCGCGCGCGTGTGCGCGCGCGCGCATGCATGTAAAATTAATGACTGGGCCAATGAGTGGCTCAGCTCGTAAAGGTACTTTATACCAAGCCTGACAACCTGAGTTGATCTTCAGAACCTGCATGTGGAAAAAAAAAAAAAAAAAACAGCACCAGCAAATTGTCCTCTGATTCCACAATGAACTCCAGCATGGGCTAGTTCTGTGTTTCTGTCTCTGTCTCTCTCAATGTAATTTTAGAAATAAAGATAGGAGCTAGAGAGATGGTCTAGTGATTAAGAGCACTTTCTGCTCTTGCAGAGGACTGGGGTTGAGTCTCCAGCTCCCACATGGTGGCTTACAACCGTCTGTAATTCTAGCTCAAGGAGACTGATGCCCTCTTCTGGCCTCCTTGAGTACTGCACACACATGGTGCACAGACACAAATGCAGGCAAAATACCCATATACATGAAGATGCTTAAATAATATATGTTCTCAACTAAAAGGAATAAGGAAAATGGAAATGACTGAGAGCTTCCTAACATACCAATCACAGAGGCAGGAAGCCCACATGGAGCAACATACACACACACACACACACACACACACACACACACACACTCAGAAAGTCAACCAACATCCAAGATGCATCATTAAAATTGTGCACACTTCAAGTAAACTTTTCCTTAGGTCAGAAGGCAGAGAGCCCAGATAACTCACAAAGCATCAAGAATAGCATTTCAGGGGACTGCCTACCAACTCTGGTCAGGAAAAAGATGGGAGAGGGTAATATTTGAGTAATTGAAAGAAGAAAACATGCCAGTGTTGAATTATATAATTCTAGCAAAGTCGTCCTATGAGGAAAGTCAACTCTGTCTCAGACAAGCGAATGGTGGAACTGGTACTCAGCACTTCAGAAAGTACAAAGTGATTACATCGGATATAAACCCTAATTAGCACGGAGAACAGAATCCCAGTAGTGGGCTAGCCAAGAAGAAACCAGGGAAGGTGGAACGAAGCCTGTTTTGCTTCCTAACTGATTTAAGAACCAGTCATTCAGCTACAGTAACATTGCAGCAGTCTTCCCTTATTGAGTTTTGTCTTTTACAGTTTCTGCTACCTGTGGTCTACCACAGTCTAAAAATACGAAAGAAAAAAAATCCCAGAAATAAGTAATTGATTTTTTTTAACTGCATGCCCCTCTGAGGGTGCCATGAAAATCTCACATGGTCCTGTTTCAACTGCCTGGAATTCAGATCTTCCTTCTGTCTGGTGTTTCCATGCCAGACATGCCTCCTGCCTGTTAGCTGGACGCATCCACACCCTGTTTGCTTCCTGCTCCTCCATCTAGCACATGCCCCATCATTTACAGGATAGGTCCATCAGTGTACAATACCCACACTGTATATGTCCCTGCTTGTTGGTCCATCGGTGTATAATACCCACACTGTATATGTCCCTGCCTGTTGGTCCATCAGTGTACAATACCCACACTGTATATGTCCCTGCCTGTTGGTCCATTGGTGTATAATACCCACACTGTATATGTCCCTGCTTGTTGGTCTGCCACACCCATGCCATGTATGCTTGTGCCTGCCAATCACTCAGCAGCAGTCTTGGTCATGAGATCAACAGTGATTGGTTCAAAAATGCTTCTCTAGGAGGCTAATGCTATTCTATGATGCCCAGGTCATGCCCAGGTCTCATAGGCATGGGTCACCTCACACCCTTCCAGGAAAAAAACACAAACATAGTGCAAATTAAGAGAAATATCCGAGTCCCACCTCTCCTGACATTGCCGTAGTTTGATCATTACTATTGCTATTTATCTCTTACTATGACTGTAAGTGACCAATGAGTGACTGGGCCAGCCATAAGTGAGGCTGGTGAAATCAAACATCCAGTAGCCAGCCGCACATCAACTGAACCCTCAAGCATCAGCCCAAACCTCACTCTGCCACCAAGAGCTAATTTTAGCTTCTTTATGAAGCAGCATGTTGCAGCCAATGGGGGGAAAATGCATCAGAAATAACTGACTAATGCAGCAAATGGCCTAGGAGGACCTAAGCCAGACAGTTCCCTCTGTTGTCCCCTCCCTTTTCCCAAGCCTGCTGTTTGCCCTGAAGTGCTCATACCTACCCCTGGGACACAGACCCCTGGCTGGAATATACTAGGTATACAGTAGGCACTGAGGATTTTGTGACAGCATCCTGTTTGTGAAGCCCAACACTCTAGTTTAAGGACATTAAGAGTTTATTTCATCAAAATCGCAACATGTCTTCACTATAGCAGCAACTCATCATCTCCCCTCTGCTGTAAACTACTCACACACACCATTCTTTCTAATTTATGTGGGGCCAAATTACACACAGATAATAAATGATTGCAGAAGCCAAAGTAGGTAGCCTATAAATAAACCACACGCTTTCACTCACTGGAAACAGGAAGCAGAGACAGGGTTTGCTCTTGACTTCTCTTGGGATATCAGCTACATAAAAGCAAGTATTACAAAAAGCCAGAAACTGAGAATCCCATTGGGAATAAAAACAGTCCCAGCCTGCCTTGCCTCAGTGGGAGCCCAGCATGCATGGAGGGGTTACAGTGTTCTCACTACTGGGAGCGTGGCAAGGCAGGTCAGACCCTGGGTCACTGGTGTCTGGTTTGAGGAGTAGTGAGATGCTGAGCAGTGACCACACACATTCTATAGACAGGACTTGTCACCAAACAGAGTCTTGGCATGGCCTCAGCCTGCATTGGCCAAAGGGGCTGCAGGAGGGTGGGTCACAGGGCCCCAATTGGCTGATAGATTTAAGGCCTGGCTTGGGCAGAGCACAGTCTGGTCCTATGGCCTTATGGCTTCTGGAAGAGATGCCTGCATGGGGGCTGTCCCTTAAGGGCTGGAGTGTGGCTCAGTGCTTGCCTAGCTATGCCAGGCCCTGGCTCCATCTCATTACAGTGGAGAAAAGAAAACAATTTAAGCAAAAAAAAAAAAAAATCCAAAAATCATAGAACTGGGTGGGAACATATTATTCTAAAGCCAAGAGAGAGTGGGAGCAGGAGCTCGGGGATGTCATTGTCATGGGAAGAAAGGGTTTTCCAGTATTGGAGCCAGACTGGCTATCTAAGCTGTGCATGTCACAGACACTTAGGTTCCTGTCACACTAGTTTTCCCTTCACAGCCTGTCCCATAATTCTCCATGATCCCCACCCACATGAGGATCTTGGTGACAAGCAATTGTCACAATGACTGCACTTCCCAAGGCTGAGTCTGACTTTGTCCACTCACACCCACCCAAAAGCCTCCAGTGGCCACCCTACCTAGCAGTGGGGACTTGGTGCAGTCACTAATGGGAAGAAATCAGTCTCTGCAGTGTGGTTGGTCTGGTGTGTGACATGGGGGACATCCAACATCTGAGCTGTCTGGTGCTTTGTTGGCTCTTAAACAGAGGTGGCATGTCTAAGTAACGACCAAGCAGACCATAGGGGTAGCTAGAGCTCCCCACAAGAAAACCAGGACATGCAGATGCAGACAGATACCCAACATGGCATCTCGGACCTGGAGGAGGCGGTGGACAGTGGAGAGGCTCATTTTTGAAAAAGGCATTCAAAGGCTGACTTTAGATCCAGTGAGGCACAGCTTGCAAGGAATAGGCTGAATCATTTCCTATGCAGTGGCTCCGGTAGGCTGTCTTCACAAGGCTCCATACACAGGAGAGTGGGTGACTCCAGACAGGCAAAGGCAGAGACCCCAGAACCGGTGTACAGCCAGGGTGGGAGGTGGCCCAATTAGTGTCCCCTTATTTGAAGATGGTGCTGGCATCACTGCTACCTCTGTTGACATTCTGGAGACACAGAGGATCTTAAGTACCCCTCAGGATGCCGAGTCTCCATCAAGGCTGTGGCCACGCCCTCTTGTAGCTGCAACTTTACATCTCATTTACCACAGCCTTGCTGGTACGGTTCGCACTCAGTGTCACCACGGGCTACCTTGCATTCTGGTGTCCACAGAGAATAGAAGTGCCTACCACATCAGGGAAGAAGGGCTGAATCATTGCTGGGCACACCACCCTGAGTCGACTTGCAGTGCTAGGCAGGACACTCTGCACAGGCATAGGTCAGGGCTGTGATCCCAGGCCAAGGCAGCAAGGAGAGGGACCCATGATGGAGACAGGGTATGCATTTTTTCTCTGCTTTGGGGTAGGCACTTGTTTGGAGTGGCAGCCACCCTGATCACACAGCAGATAGGTCCACACGGTGGGCAGAATGGCTGCTCTTGTCCCACGGGCTTAACTTTGTAGGTACCGTGCCTGGCCTGGTCCCGTTGACCTACAAGACACAAAGGCAAGTAAGTGTGAAGGCAATTTCAAGAGTCAGAGTTCAGTCCATGTGAATACAAACAGTTTTGGGCCTGGAGCTATGTGAAGATCTAGGGTCCCACTTCTGAGACACCGGCTCTGAGCACCCAAAGAGTCTAGACCAGAACACCCCAAGAAGGTTCCTACCCCACCAAGACCAGTTACTTTGCTTATCACCAGCCAGTCACCAGCTCTCTTCATGGAACACTCCGAGTACCAGGAACTTGTGATAAGAGGTGAGGGCTACTAGACAAAGCTAAGGTTTATCTTTGCTCTCCTGAGTTGTTTAGTCCAGTGAAGGGGACAGACAATGGCCATTAGGCAAATGGCTGAGGCGGGATTTGACCATGAGTCGGCAACACTTTTATGTAGTACCATCCAGGAAGGAAACACTAGAGCAGTGGTTCTCAACCTGTGGGTCTTGACCCCTTTTGGGGCTGCCTATCAGATATCCCGCATAGCTAATATTTACACTATGATTCCCTAACAGTAGCAAAATTACAGTTACAAAGCAGCAACAAAAATTACTTTTATGGTTGGGGGGGTGTTTTCACCACAACACAAGGAGCTGCATTAAAGGGTCGGGGCATTAGGAAGGTTGAGAACGGTTGGACTACAGCAAGAAGTTAGTACATGACAGATAAGTGGACTACATCACAGGCTAGACCCTTTCGGGGCCTGAAGAAGAGGGAGCTGTGGGTGGAGCTCTGTATTTAAACAATGCCTTGCAGCGGCATGCATCCTCCATCAAGCTGAGGCTATGTCTGCCTGCAAAGCAGGCTTGCAGCCAGGTCAATGTCCAGGATTGCTGGTCCAAGTAAGAGCTACACAAACAAGGGCCCTGAGGATGGTGAGGGGAAGGATGAAGGCATTGGGAACAGGTTTAGTGAAGTCAGGGAAGGAACTCAGGAAGACATGTACTCACGATATCGGAACTGAAGGGTTTGGTGTTTGTGGTTCGGGCCGAACTGCTCGTAAGGGACCAGACCTTGGTCTTGTGCTTGAAGGCTGCTCTCACCTTCAAAGGCAGAAGAAGGAGCCTTAGAGGGAACTCCAGAGGTTGACATGGCAAATTCTCAGGGGCCATTCTAGAGGTTTGCTGTGACATGAGCCCCAAGCACCCAACGTGTGGGCAGGGCATGAAAGTTGGTACCAGTATTGACATCACTGACAAGGGCTGTAGTACCCTAGACAACCCCCTTCTTCTTTGCCCTTGTGGAAGTGAAAAGCTACTTGGAGCTGTCTGTCAGGGATGGGATGGATAAACATACCTCTGAGTTTAGGAGACAGTGAAAGAGGAAGATGAAGAGGCCCTGGGAAGGGAGGAGAGAGATAGTGTCAGAGCCACACATTGATACAAGGTCCCCCATCACTCAAGCCTGAAGCTGGCATGGACACAACTCGCTGTGGGGGGCTTACTGTGACCTGGAGCCTAAGGCATACAGCCGCAGGGAAGGGGGATCTCCAGATGCTTCAGTTCAGGGAGGGGAGAAGGCCCTGATCACCACCCCAACTTCCAAGCAGAGGACCCCAGACTCTGCCTTCATGGGGCCTTGTTACTCACACCCGACAGGGATGATAGGAGCCCACCTTGTTGCCAGCCTGCTAGCTTGCAGGCTCTTCTTACCTGTAAGGAGTTGAGTACAGCAAACATGTATTGGAAGACCAGGGCCCGGTCACTGACAGCAAGCACCCCAAACACCCATGAGGTTCCCAGGATGGGTAGCAACACAGCAACAGCCTTGGCTGTCAACCTGGAACAGAGAGGCGGTGACATTCGTGTTAGCAGTGGGCAGGCAGCCAGGCCAGGAGGACCTTAGGGTGCCAGGTCTGCTGTGAGAAGCAATGGCTCCGTGGGGAATGAGACTGGATGGTCTATACGGTAGACGGTGCTTTCCACTATAGGTCTGCAGGCACCAACCCGCCATACACTTATCTCTGAAGCCCCACAGAGCCAAGATAGGGCCAACACTTGGCAGTGCTTCGGCAGAAAGAGCTAGGGGTGAAGGCAACTCCTGGCTGGGCTCTGAGAGAGATGGTGGGTAGAAGTGTGGGGGAGTGGTAGGAGTCCAAATGCTCTGGGCACAGTGACAGCCTTGGTACTGCAGGTGCCAGGCTCAGATAGGAGGAGCAAAAGCCTGGGCTGGGTATGAGAGCTGGGGACTGTAGCACGGGTTCCAATAGGTTTTAATAATAAAAACCTGGAGTCAGATATAGGGGGGAATGCTGAAAGATCAGAGAGACAAAGGAGCAAGCCACAGCCACGCCTTAGCTCGCTAACTTCTCACACAAAAACAGACTGAGCTCCTGTCTCCTCCTGACTTATCACTTCCTCTCTCTGCCCAGCCATGTCACTTCCTGTCTGTCTGTACAGACCTCCAGACTTCTATGGTTAGCTCCGCGCTCTGATCGTCAGGCAAGCTTTATTTGTTAGAGTGTGAACAAGAGATCACTACAGGGGACAAGCTGGCGGCCCTGGTCACCGAAGGCATTAGGGCTGGGGGCAGAGTGAGAAGAACAGCCTCCCTCCCTGTTAGGCCACAGTGGGCAGGGGACAGACCTTCCGCTCCTCAGATGGAAGAGGAAAGGAAATACGCCTTACCCTCATAAACTTACTTCCTCATCCAGGCACAGCCTGGAAGGTTCCAGGAGCAGAAGCCCAAGAGGGCTGCCCCCACGTGTCAAGTTAATTTATGGGGTTTAGAATAATTATCTCATTGATTTGCTGTTGCCTCTTCATAGATTTTTGCTTGATATACTGTTTTTAAAGCCACTTACAGGATGCCAGCAGGCTGGCATCCCAGGGTCTACAGGAGCTCCCAAATCACTTGTGAGGGGGCCCTCAGCCGTGATCCTTAGGCTTCAGGCTGTTGACAGTTTCCCTGTGGTCAAGGAGGACTATGAGTCTTGGGTCCATGAGTCCCATAAGTGAATCCCATCCACATTGGGCACAAGGCCTGGACACTGTCACCATAGTCCCCTTTCCCCACTCCCTGTCTTTACAGGAAGCAAGACACTCTGCCAAAGAGGACACTGGCTTCTGCTGTTCTGCCTGTAGGAGGAGATGTGGATTTGGGCATGAAACCCATTCAGAGGTGAGGAGGCACAAAATGGGAACTGAGCCTAGGAGACGGTATCTCGATGTGTGGGGTATCTTATAGGCTCAGAACTTCATGGCCACTGCATCTCCTTTGGCCACATCCAGTCGCTGTAGCCTTTTCTGACATTTGCCACTGGCAAGCCCCAGTAGATAAATACCAGGAACCCCGGGCAACCTCAATTGGCATGTGACGTCCATGGCAGGGGGTACTTCCAAAGACCCCTTCTCCTTTAGTGGCAGCCCGGTGTGCATGGAACACTGCTTCCTATGATATTCCCTCACGCCACATCCCAAGAAGAGGGCCCTGTTATTTGCTTTCCACTGTGAAGGAAGTGAAGGGCAGAGGGGCCCATTGTTGCAGGAACTAGAAGCCACATTTCTATCTCTAGATGTTTCCCCTCCCTCCAGCTGTCTCTGATTCTGGCTGGAGAAGTCCCAGGAGGGCATCTACACATAACTACATTAGGACCTCATCTTGCGTTACCAGAAGTAATATAGGAATAAGGACCAAAACCAACCAAAGCTGGCCATGTAAGCCTTGAGAATAAAGAGCCATCTGAAGATCCAGGTCTGGTTCTGGGAAGCAACATTGTCCCTCCTGAAGCCTCTAGTAGCCCCTATGAGCAGTGCAGTGAGATGTGGACAGTTGGGGTCAACTTACTTGAAGGCACTGGGGTCCCCGTGTATCTTGTAGTTGTCGGTGCTGACATGGGAAATGACCCTCGTCACCGCTACCAGAATAACAATGTTGACCTGAGAGGGAGGAGAGAGAAAGGGAGGCAGTGAGAGGCCAGGGTCCACCCACAGGAACATGCCACGCAGTAGCCACTCCTCAGCCAGCAGGGAACACAGCTAGGACAAATTCAAGGCAGGTCTCCAGGCTTTAAGCAGGACAGAGGCTACATAAACCTAGCCCACAAGCATCGTGGCACGAAGAATGAATGTGACCTTTGGGGTCAGATAAACCAGTCAAAGCTCATCTCATGCTCGTTCACTCTGTCTGACCCTGGACACCTCTGTGGGTCCTGAAAATCTCTGCTTTCCACAGAGCAAAAGGTTGACCGCTGCAAACTAACCACGGAAAGAGGAGACGCCTCATTTATCCAGTCCATATATGGCAGCCGGCTCTCATCACCCACATACATGTGTGATGTTTGAAAGCCATAGCAGTGGGGTGTGATATATATGGCCAGCACTGCTACTGCTCCGGGGTGGGGATATGGGGACATGCTAGGTGGCCCCCATGCTGGACCAGCACTCAGGAGTCTCAGGCTCTAACCCAGTTCCTTCCTCTGCTAGCTGCTCTCCTGAATCCTAAATGTAAAGAGGCAAGGTAAGACTTGCAGGGGGATGATGCTCAGTCTCTATCAGCTTGAGGGGCCCCCTGTGGGTTGTGAGAGCTATGCTGTGGCTAGAGTCCTTTCCCTTCAGTGTTAAAATCTTCATCAAGAAGCCAGCTCCAGGCTCATGACCTTCGAACTGACAGAGGCATCACCACCAGGTCTCCCAGGGAGGCTGCTGCCCTGTGCAGTCTCGTGCACAAATAGACCTGGCAATGCTGGAGAGGCCTGAAGTCAAGACCTCCAACCTCACAGCCTTTTGGCACATGCCTACATCATCAGTAGCCTAGGTGGCTGTGTCCCGGGCGGTTCACACACACACACACACACACACACACACACACACACACACACACACACAGAATGACTGATCTGGGGCGGGACTTGAGATGCTTCCCCCTCTCTGATTCCAGTTGGTAATTTTCCACTCCAACCCTCTGCCTCTGCCTCCTCCCAGCTGCCATCAGTCATCCGGAGCCTTTTGTTAAGGTTTTCAGCTAAGACAATTCTGGGTCTATGCTACGATGGGAAATGAGGCACTGTGGGTACCTTGCCTGTCCTGTCTAGACTCTTGCTTATGCTATCATCAGACATGAACAAAAGCTCAACCGTCACTTTCCCTTGGTGCCTTGTTGCCCTGGGTAACAACAGAGTCTCCCAAGGTTGGAGGAGATGAGCGAGGTTAATGCATAACCAGCTAACACGGTCTCATGCAGTGTTCAGTAACTCAGCTGCCCTCCAGCCTTCCTACAACTTATGACAGTGGCCAGAAAACCACGTTGGATAGGAACAAGAAGAGGCAACGGGAGTGGTGGACCACGGGCTTTTAGACTTATTTATGCTCCAACCTGGACAGTGACAGAAGTCTGAGCAAGCTACCCATGGTGACAGATTCAAGGGGCAGGGGTGTCACCTCAGACAGCCATGGCCATTGACACCTGAGAGCATCTTCAGTCATGGCCCCAGGCCGTGTGCCCCACATCCACTATGTCACCGAGGGGAGTGGAGAGGGAACAGCCCCAGCTCACAAAATCACAGACCCTTCTGGCCCTCCTGAGAGTCAATAGATTTTCTTGGGGGAAAAAATAATAAATGCTTTTTCGTTTGTATACCTTTGGTTCATTTTCAGAGTGCTGGGTTTCTAACAACACAATTCTTCTTGCTGTCCCCCTGATTTGGGGGGTAGAGTTAGTCCCTTTGCCGTTGGCATGTTTCCAGCCTGCCCCTTTCACTTTGGGAATTTATAGCTTAGCTACCTCACATACCTGCAAAGGCTGTTGGCTGGTGCAAATCGGTTATGCACTGGTGAACTGCACATGTGGACCTCAGGGGCTATATAGGTCATACCTATTACACAGCCATGGCCCCATTTCCTGCCTAAAGCCCCAAGGTCCTGTGCCCTGGGATGAAGATGCAGATGGAGGTGCCCAGTCTGCAAAAACCTCGTCGTGACAGGGAAGCTAAGTACCAAGCCTGCTCCCTAGAGACAGTTGATACTGGGGGGTGGAGGAGCAGGTGTGGGCAAAGATTGTTCATATATTCAGATTTTTCATATATTCCTAAAAATTTTCTCTCAACCCTGTCTATTACAAATGTAAATATCAAATTGCCTAACTACTTTTTAATTTGGAGCAATTATAAATTAAAAAGAAAATTACTTGAAACTCGTTTTCAGTGAACACGTCAACAGCATCCTTGGTGGAGGGTCACACGGATATTTAACTGGGCTAGGTTCTAGTGACTCAGGGATGGTGATGGGCCTGGGGAAGGGCTAGAGGGATGCTGCCTGTGGGAGAGATTCTGAGACCTGGTGTGAGGTCAGAGGTCACGCTAGCCAGTTTCTCGTGTGAACTGAGAGGCTACATCATGACAAGCAGGCCACAGGAGCTCATACTCATAGCACCTTCTGCAGACACTGTAAAAGGCGATCCCATCCCAGACCTCCTCAGATCAAAGACCAGAGAGGTAGCCCCATATTTCCAGGCTTCCTAAACCAGGTTTCCAACAGAGCAATCAACTCAAAATAGAGTGTTTCACAGATAAGAAAATGTGACAGGTGATAACGTCATGTGACTGAACTACTCAAGAACCAGTGTCCCAGCACCAGCAAAGCTGCTCATGTTGCTCCGCCCCCCTTTCACCGCCATTTTTTAAAATGGTTTTCTGAGTTTGATTCCTGCCTTCCACACAGCCTAGGTGTGTCTGGTGTCATTTGGAAGCCTTGGACCTGGTCCACCACATCGGTAGTGCTCATCTACGTATCTGGTTTTGCGCCGGTTGCTGTGCCAGGCCCACCCTGTTGGCACCAGGAGGGGATGGTGTTGCATCTGTGTAGTGATTCGAGCCAGTGGCTTACAAACAACATAATCTAGACCTCCAGAGAAATACAAAGCAGGGTGGGTCTGGCCTCTCGGCTCCATTCCGCTCACTCTGGCCCATGATCTTGTAGAACTAGGAAGGCCTGGTTTGGTTGAGATGAGACTGTCAGGGATTTGCAGCACTTTTGTGGCCCATCAGGATGGGGACAAGCCACTGAGGGCAAACATCAAAGAAACGATCCCAAGCTGCATTTCAGAATAGAAGGGTAAAGCTGCACGCCAGGCAATCAAACATACAGCCGAGCAAAGGCCAAGATGACCCAGGAAAAGATCGTGGTGGCCTCTGGGGGATGACGGAGGAATGGTAAGTGAGGTCTCTGGGGTTGGGCCAGGCTCTGCAACTCTGTCAACTCAGGGTCATCTAGGAGCTTGTTAAAAAGAAAAAAAAACCATTGAGCTGTGCACCAGTTTTTACAGGGAGAAGCTATCCACATCTGCACACACATACACAATTTATAGTGTCCCCAGTAGTGCGCTGTGTGCCAGAATCCCCATGTCTGTGTCTGCCTGCAAACTCTATGTAGCGTTGCATGTGCCTCTGGATTTGCATGCCTATAACTCTGTATAGCTGCAGATCTATGTGCCTATAGCCCTCTCTATAATGTGTCTACGTGGCTGTACTTCTGAGTGGTCTATATCTGCGTATCTATGTCTCTCTATGCCTGTAGCTCTGTCTGTCTGTCTGTCTGTCTATCATAGCCATATGAATCTGTGGATCTGTGGGCCTGTAACCTTGTGGATCTGTGGATCTAAGGGCCTGTAGCCTTTTGGGTCTGTAGATCTATGAACCTATAGCCTTGTGAATCAGTGGATCTGTGAATTTATGGGCCTGTAGCCTTGTGGATCTATGGATCTATGGGCATGTAGCCTTGTGGATCTGTGGATCTGTGGATTTATGGGCCTATAGCTCTGCATCTACATCTATCCATTAATGTGTCTATACTTGGCTTCTCAGGGAAGACAATGATTTGGGGTACTAGAATCCTTTCTCTTTCTCATACCTGGAGACATTGTCCTCCTTTCCTTGTTGGGACAGGCACAGACCAAGCCATGTTGGGGCACAGGCTGCAGTAACCATTCTCTTCCTGAAATCTCCCTTCTTGGGGGAAGGGGTTTGGGGGCTGTGTCTATACTCTTTGGGCCGACCTGCATTCCCTTGTGACCAAGCTTCTGCTGCAGAACCACAAACTGTCACTGCATTTTGAGGTGGGGCATTCAGAGAGGTGATATATTAAACTGAGGTCATTTGTATGGGTTGTGGTCAAACAGAGCTATGGCCTCCCACAGGCAAATGGCCAAGGAGAGAGAAAGACAGGGTAACTGACCCACTGAGCCTTTGATTTCAGAGAGCTGGCTTCTGTGACAATAAGAGAATAATTTGCTGTGACAATAAGAGAATAAGTAGTCTGGTCTATGGTACTTTCTTGCAAGATCTTGAGTAGATCAAGCCCTGGGGAACTGCTGGTCCATTGGACAGGGCTACATTTAGCATCATTAAGTTGGATGGTGGGTCCTGATGCTGGGGGCTCTGTTCTGCTTTTCTCTTAAGTTCAAGGTCTAAGTGGCTAGCTACTACCCACAACCTCCTGCACCTGCAGCCTAACTCACTAGTACAACCTCCTGCACCTGCAGCCTAGCCCTTGCTAGTATGTGTAAAGCTACACATTCTTACACATACACATATCCTACTTTCTAAAATGGCTTTACTTTAAAAGTTTGCAAGCTAATTTGTGATGATGATGTACCCTTTTAATCTCAACATTCGGGAGACAGAGGCAGGTGGATCTCTAAGTTCAAGGCCAGTCTGGTCTACAGAGTGAGTCTCAGGACAGGCAGGGCTACACAGAGAAACCCTGTCTCAAAAGACTGGGCTGGAGAGTGGGTTCTGCGGTTAAGAGAAGATATTGCTTTTGCAAAGGACCTGAGGTTGGTTCCCAGCGTCTACACTGGGTGCCTCATAACTGATTGTAAATCCAGCTCCAAGAATCCAACACTTCTAGCCTCCATGGGCACATGTGCACAAACCCACACAAAGATACACATGCCCACAAAATTAAAAAATAATAAAAGTAAATCTTTAAAAGTGTGCTAGCCTTGCGGGGTGTTTTTGGATGCATATAGAGTCTAAGCATGGGGCAGCAGTTCCACACTGCTCCCCAGGGAGCCGCCATTCAGGAGTATCCGCCCCATATTTTCTCATCCATTTCCCACTTGCATGAGAGTAAGTGCCCATGGAGAGCTTTTACACAAATGGGGTCAGGCCACGCTTGACATCCAAAACTTGCTTCCTTCATTTGGAAGCAAGGCAGCGAACTACTGGGTGAGTGAGGGCACGGCTCAGGAGGGCACAAACCACTCCATCTTCGGAGGTGCTGGGGGGGGGGGGACGGCATCCTGCCTCTCCCCTAGCACCCAGCCTGAGGCCTGGCAGACAGACAGGCCACGGCATGCCTCACACCGGGGGTTGGCCACCCTTCTCTGCCAAGGGCTGGATAGTAAATACTTTGGGCTGTGAAGGATGCAGATTGTCTCAGCACTGCAATCTGAGCAGCTGCAGACACATTGTAAATCAGCGGGTGTGGCTGTGGCCCAAAGCCTGACCTCAGAGTGGGCGTGGTCCTGTCTGCTGCAAGAGGCCAACCCTGCCCTTTAACCATGGAGCCCTGAAAGCAGTGATTCTCACCCTTCCTAGTGTGTGACCCTTTAATACGGTCCCTTATGCTGTGGGGACCCCTAAGCATAAAAATTATTTTTGTTGCTACTTTATAATTGCGATTTTGTTACTGCTATGGATTGTAATATAAATATCTGGGTTTGGTTTTGTTTTTTATGACAGTCTGAGGGGACCTCTATGAAAGGGTCATTCAATCTCCCTGAAGGGGTCCTGACCCGCAGATTGAGAACTTCTGCCTTAGAGGATGCCTGTACCTCCTTCCCTCTCAATTTCCACCACGTCCCACTCTATAGGAAGGCACTGAATGACCCAATATTAACCATAGCTAGAGCGACTTGAGGGTGTTTAGAGGCTGCGACCTCCAAGCCTCTGCAGATAAAGCTGACAGGGGACACTTTGAACATCACAAGATGTGGCTTAGGACTTCTGCCCCTGAGGTTAAGAATGACTGACACTCAGGGAAAGGAGCAGTGTACTTTAGGTAGCACAATCCCTGGGAGTGACACCCAGGGATTCACAGGACTGTGACAAGGGTGTTGGGTTTCTCATGCTGGGATGAGAAGGATCTGGGCCCAGTGGCCTCAGACCCTAGCTGCCTCCAGCTAGAGGCACACAAAGAACGCTGCACACAGAGGTTCTTCCTAGCCCAGAAGACCCAGAGAGTTTGTGTGTTGAACTAAGAAAAGAAGCCAGACCTCAACGCAAGCGCTCCCTTTCTTAGTCCTGTGGCCTCGCTGCCTTCGTGCCGATGCTGCCCCTGAGTCACGAAGGACTAAGGAGGAGGGGAATCTCTACTGAGAACATGTTCACAGTTTGGCTGGCATGATGAGGGGTCCTGCTAAACCCTAGACAGCAGGGGGACAGGGCACCAACTTCTTGCCCAAGCCTCTGTGAGCCCCCCTAAAACAACTTGTAATGGCGGCTGAGCCTTCTGTAGGCCTGGGCACAGCACAGCTCTGGCATGGGAAGCTCCACAGCACTGTGGGATGTTGTGTCTCTATGCTGACAGCCGCTAATAGGAAGAAAACCGTGTGGAGGCCGGAGCTCCTTGCAGACATGCCTGGAAGGAGTTGGGCTCCACCTCATCCCTAGTCTAAACCTCACAGCCCTCCTTGGAGGTGATTCCCACACTGAATGGGACCCTCTCTCATCCCTGTGAGTCCCCCTGCTGGGTCATGACTTCCAGCTCCTTTCCCCAAGTGGTTATGCAAGTCTGCCCCGGAGAGCAGCCAAACACTAGGAGCCACCTCAGGGAAGTCACCTGTAAACATGGACCCTGGGCCAAGCCTCAGCCAGGACCCAGACTGTCTAGTAACTTAAAGCTAGCATGGTCCACCTCCCCACTGCATCCCTTGAGAACAGAGAAAATTAATTCCGGGACTCTGGGGCCTATGGACCCTTCAGAGCAGAGTTAACAATGGGAAAAGGTCCAGCAAACTCAACAGAGTACAGCAGAAGCCTCAATGGTCATATGTTTAGCAGGAGCCACACACATAGTGACGGTGCCTGCCCTCCCCACCCCAAAGGGCACTGTGATGATGGCTCACTCTCTGCCCTCCATAAGCCCTCAGGCAAGAAAGACATCATTGTGCCCATTAGCACAAGGGCATCAAAGGAATTTCTATGAAGAAGAATAAGCCCAGCCATTGAGCATCTCCCTCAATTTCCTCTATAATTAACTACCAGGGCTCTGCCCCAACCAGTGCCAGCAAATGGGGATGGTCACACGGAGTCATAGTCGGGGAAAGGAGAGGAGAGGGGGTGGGGTGATGGCCTTCTTGAAGTGTGTGTGTACATGGAGGGAGAGGGAGGCCTTCAGATGCGGTCCTAGATGTCCCAGAGGTCACCCCATCCTTTATCTGGTGAGATGTGAAGTCTGACATCACCTGAGATGTGAGAACCGTGTCCCTCCTCCCCCACTATCGGGGGGAGCTAGGATACCCCATCTTGCAGTATATCAAACCAGCCTACTGAAGGCCAGTGTATCTCTATAAAGAGTATCCCTTGGCACTGGTCAGGGACCTATAAAGGACACAACACCCTGTAAAGGTAGCAGGATGGAGGGCAGGATCTCCAAATCCTGGCTATGACTCACTCTAGGCAGGCGTGGTGGAGGTATCCTGACCCTTATGATTACACCAAGCTTGCTCTGTGAGCTCCCACATCCCCACACACACGAGCCTCAGCACACAGGCACTGGGGTCAACAGGAGGATGTATCCATGGTTATGAGAATGCTGTATGTGTCTGGCTGCTCACTAACCCCGGGGGCACCTGCCACAGAGAACACCCACAGGGAAGATTAAAAAGCTCCTTAGCCATGGGCGGGTGCCCCACTTAGAGCTATGTGGCTGATACTGATCTCTATCCCCGACTGTCCTCGCTGTCCCTTGTCTTCTCTTCACGACATGAGTCTTCACTTACACGTGGGGTTCCCACAAATCCCTTTAGCACTCCAGCCTTGGGGTGATAGGGCTCTCTGGGAATTCTGTGCATGCCTCTGGGCCTGAGCTCTGCGGAGGTACATTGAGGGTTTGTTGGGGTTACTCCAAACTCAGGGCCTTCCTGAGGCTAAGGGTAGCCAAGGTTCAGAGTCACTCACTCCCCACCCCAGTGGGGAACAGCAAGTATAAAAGATAAATGACCACATGATGCTATCTTTTCGGGTGTGTCTTCACGGAGTCTGGCACAGTCCACATGGCCTTGCCCCTGACCTGCCAGGCTCTGTCCGTGAAGTGGGTGTGTGTGTGGGGGACTTACCACAATGACCAGCAGGGCAGGGCCCACAAAGGCCCAAATGGCGCCACTCCCCAGAGACAGCCAGCAGCTGTGGAGAGAAAAGAGTTCCTTCCTTTGGTACCCTTGCCTACCCCCCACGTCGGCACCTCCACCCCAGGGGGCCTCAGCCACAGCAATGGTAGGGCTGCCGCACAGTGAGAGAATTCGTGGACTCTGGGTGCTGCCATGACACCCATGCTTCTTCCCACTCACTTCCATGGTGACCTCATGGGTCTTTTTCTTGGAGACGATTTCTCGGAATTGATGGCCTGGGTCAGCCAGCCACCTCTGAGGAGTTCAGCCAAAACCCAGAGTAGATTTCTGTTTTGTTACCACAATAGACAAAAAGCCACACCAGGGACTGCCTCTGGGTCTTTGCAGAGCAAGTCAAATGCTGGTCAGGAAGGTCCCTTTAGTGGGGCTCAGGGAACTGCTCAGCCAGCTGCCCATCTGCCCTGGACCCGCCGGTCACTACACACCCATGGAACCCTAGCATAAGAAAAGTTCCAGCACATTCCAGTAGTCACTCTAACATGCTGGGGTGTAGTGACCAGAATGTGATAGAGTCCACCTGTTCTCAGAGACAAATGGCTCCTAACTCAGGTGAGATGTCCAGCTTCCACACAGGGTTCCATGTTCTCCCAGTGCTGGAGTGGAGTCTAGAAAGGTCATCTTTTCAATCCTGGACACTAATGCTCTTAGGAAAGAGGGCAGCTCAGGCCTCCCAGCCAAGCAAGGGCTACAAGACACATTGACCTGTGCATTCCAGACTGCGTTTATTTGCATATTCTCGTATTCCTTCAGCTGGATGCTATACACTCGCTGAATACCTGAGAAAGGCCTGAAGGCCACAAACATGGGCTTCACGGGTGACCAGAGCCATGCATCTGGGAGAAGCACATTAATTTAAAAAAAATTCCCATCAGAAGGGTCTGGAATTAAAGTACTTTCTGCCAGGCCTCCTGATGACCTGAGTTAGATCCCCAGGACCCATGTAGTACAAGGAGGGAAATGACTCTTGAAGATTATTCTCTGACCTCCATGTGGGCACCATGGCATGTGTGTACATGCACATATGCATGTGCATACAAGCATATTTATACACACACACACACACAATAAATAGATGCAAAAAGAAAAAGAAACCTGGAAAAAGAAACCACGTTGTGGTTCTATTTTTGTTGGTGTTTTCTTGTTTGTTTGTTTGTTTTTGTCTTTGTTTTTATGACAGGATTCCTCTGAGTAGTCCTGGCTGTCCTGGAACTCACTTTGTAGACCAGGCTGGCTTCAAACTCAGAGATCTACCTGCCTCTGCCTTCAGAGTGCTGGGATTAAAGGCGTGCGCCGCCGCCGCCGCCGCCGCCGCGGCCACCACCACCACCTGGCTCATGTTGCGGGTTCTAAGAGCATAAGAGGATTGCTGTAGCTCTCTTTGCTCAGGCCTGGGGGAGCCAGCTGATGCCCATTCTGCACCCAGGTAAGTGTGGACATCCGAGACTGTGGGCACCTTCCAGTGCTCTGCTATACATGAGGCCCACCAATCATAAGGCATATTCAGAGCATACAGGGTCACTCACCTGTCACTTGTCCCATAACTGTCCATAGAGGATGATATGGAGATGATGCAGATAAGGAGAGGGCACCCTGTGGAGAGATGGAGATGTCACACAGCATGTTCCCTTCCCCTTCTGTCCACAGATGCATATGCCCTGGGGACAATGGCTGAGCACTGGGCACAGAGCACTGTGGGACACAAGGAAGTCACAGGCTAAGCCAGAGGACACATGTGCTCACACTCACACAGCCCCTTCTTTTGGTTCTGCTGAGGAGCCTAGGGGTCTGTCATAGTCCAGTGCTTGGGGCAAGGGGGCCCATGGGGACAAGAAGGGAAGTTTGGGATCCTCTGTTTGGGCCATGATTCCTAGGTAGGTCATATGAGAGTGGCAGAGGACATGTTGGGTATGTTAACAGGGATGTGCCCGTGTCTCTCAGTAGGCAGAGACACCTTCAATCCCAGAACTCGGGAGGAAGAAGCAGGTGGATCTCTGTGAGTATGAGGCCAGCCTGGTCTACAGAGCAAGTTCAGAGGAACCCTGTCTCAATAAATAAATAAATAGATAGATAGATAGATAGATAAATAAATAAATAACAGAAATAAAAAGTTTTCCTTTATACAAGTTGCTGTGGTCATTGTGCCTATTCACAGCAATAAAACCCTAAGTAAGACACTCCCTAAGACAGTGTGAGCTCAGAAACCACTCCACAGCCTCGGGAGGAGGAGACAGCCTAGGGCCAGATGCACTAGACTATCAAATGTACAGTGCCTGTGCTGTCAGTGTTAGAGCCCAGAACTCTAGCCAACCATTCTGCTCCACATCAATAGGGCCCAGGGGCTGGCTTCTTCCTGGCCCTCAGGCATGTGACCCATGACTGCCTCAGTGAACCATCAGTCCCCCCTTGGCCACAGCAATTGATAGAAAGACGGGCATGTGACCTGGATGAATCAATAAGATTCTAGCAGGGAATCAAAAGCAAGATTGCCCTTGAGACTGGGAAGAAAGAACTCTCTCCTTATGGGGTTGCAGAGAGGGTAGGGACATTGTTGGGACAGGTAGAGCTTATGCAGCCACCTTGGCACCACAGGGAGTTAAGGAAGGCTCAGGACCCTGCCAGTGAGGACATCAGGAAAGGCAAATTTGTGTTGTGGAGGCCCATGGATCAAGACCCGAATTTACCACCATGGACCTATACGAACCTTTAAATTCCCTTTATGCTTAAGCCAGTTTGAACTGGATTTGTTTTACAAAACCCCGTCAGACATCTGGAGAGGTAGTAGAAACGAGGTCTAAGAACAAACTAGCAAAACATCTAGACCAGCAATTCCCACAGCAGTCTGTCTCCCTGCCAAGAAAGAATTCCAGGTCAAACTGCTCTTAGAGCCAGCCAGCCCAGAGAGAGCTGACCGTTCCCTGCACTTTAAAAGTTCAGATATATATATACATACATACATATATATATTCATTCAGATGTGAGCCTCCATGAGAAGGAAGTTGTTCAGCGTTTTTTTAGCTCAGCTGTGGTGTGGGCTTTGCTCTGCAAACATGGCTGCATGTCCCCTCCCCAACACTCATGAGCTTTTGGGGTGATGCAAACATTTCCCATCTTTCAGCATTTCCATAGAATAGGGATCTGGTACCCTTTGCTTCCTCTGCAGGGGCCAAAGAGCCAAAGAAATTGGCTCTATAGTCCACCATAAGATCCCTTCAAGGTGAGTGTTCAGGAGAAAGGGTTTCTCAACCGAGGGGATGGACGCATGACTGCATACCAAATGTGACCAAACAGGGGCTGCATATCAGATATCCTGAATATTAGATATTTACATTCCGATTCATAACTATTATGAAGCCGTCATGAAAATAATTTTATGGTTGGGGGTCACCACAACATGAGGAGCTGTATTGAAGAGTTGTAGCGTTAGGAAGGCTGAGAACCTCTGTTGTAGAGGAAACTATTTCTCAGCTTCAACCAGCTGTGTGAGAGTGAGCACAGCCCAGTATCTCCACCCCACAGCTCTCTAGTGCCCCCTGCAGACGGAGAGCTTCATGCCTCCATTCTCTTTACCAGAATTGCGGTTTGGGGGGGGGTGTCTAGCTTCATCTTTTTAAAGCGTTTCCCCCATCATCCTTGCCTCTGAGGCAAGGACCAGTTTAAACCCAAATACACAGGACATCAGGGAGTCTCTGAAGGTGGAGGTCAGCATGGAAAGCAACCAGTGCTATGACCCGAGTCACCCTCAGCGTCCCCTGCAAATGCCACTGGGCATGGGTGGCTGCTTCTCTGTGGTGGTTGGTGGGAGGGAATATTGGCAATGACCCTCTGCTCCCTCCCAGAGGCGGCCACAGCCTCAAGCATCAAGACGCTGAGGTGAGTGGTGGCACAGCGTCTACCCCCAGGCTCTGGAAGGCACATCCCTTACGTCCAGCTCCCAAGATGGCAACATTGCCTCCAATACTTTGGATGGTTGAAGTGAGGGCTGGACCCAGGTCGTGACTTTATGCCATCACATAATGACTGAGGAACAGCCAGGGGGACAGCGAGAAGGCGGATATACTGCTCAGAAGACAGTGCCAATAGCCTGGGGGCTTTATCCACCTCTCCCCTCTCCCTCTCCCTCTCCTCCCTCCTCCCCCTCTCTCTCCCCTTCCTCCCTCTCCCCCTTTCCCTCTCCTCCCTCCTCCCCCTCTCCCTCCTCCCTTTTCCCCCTCTCCCTCTCCTCCCTCCTCTCCCCCTCCTCCCTCTCCCTCTCCCCCTCCTCCCTCTCCCCCTCTCCCTCTCCTCCCTCCTTCCCCTTTCTCTCCCCCTCCTCCCTTTCCCCCTCTCCCACTCCTCCCTTCTCCCCCTCTCCCTCCTCCCTTTTCCCCCTCTCCCTCTCCTCCCTCCTCCCCCTCTCTCTCCCTTCTCCCCCTCTCTCCTTCCTCAAACAGAAAAACAAGGAAAATGGACACAGACAAAAGACAACAAAGGGAAGCAGCCTGGGTTTGGGGACCAAATGACCCCAGGCATCCTTCCTGAGGACACCCCAGACCTGCTGAGCAGCCTAAGGGAGCTGCCTGAACCTCTCTGTGCCTCCATGATCTGGAATGATCTGTTTATGAAATGGTGACTGGAGCATTCACATGGGACTATTGCAAGGACCACACAAGATGCATACATTTAGCAAGGGCTAAATGTATGTAAATAAATGTATGTTAGTAAAGCCCTTGGTGTGATGCTGACCCCTGTCATAAGTAGCATCCTGGATGGCTCAGGTTCCCTATCCTTGCCCACCAATGTCTCATCCCAAACTGTCTTCCTGAAACCCCAGCAAACTTGTGCCACTCTTCTGTGGGCCATTCGGAGTCATTCTGGCCCTGTCACCATTCACATATTCTTCCTGGGTCAAGATGCCCTCCTCTTAGGAGCACGGTGCCCAGGCTAATGCCAGCCCTAGAGTTGGTCTCCTAAGATCCTCACCGGGTGACAGAAATATTTGGGGAACTACTGCTGGGGAATGCTGGCCAGAACCAACAGGAGACTTGGACATCTCCCAAGAAATTACTGAAGTTTGCCTTTCCATGTTTGCTGTTGTTTCATCTGTGGCAAGTGTGCAGTCTGCCCCGTGAAGCTGTTGGGACTTTGTTCTGAGTGGCGGGAAGGAATAGTGTGTGTTCTTTCCCAGGTCAGCACTGAATTCCCAGCATTGGCGGTGACCTCTCCCCTCTGGACTCTGGGCTCTTACCATGGCACTGTTCCATGGTGGACAGACCTTACAAACCCAAAATCAGGTTGTACTGGCTAGTTTTATGTCAACGTGACACCAGCTAGAATCATCACAGAGGAGGGAGCCTCAGTTGAGAACATGCCTCCATGGGATTTTCTTAACTAGTAATTGAAGGGGGAGGACCCGGCCAATGCTGTGCAGTGCCATCCCTGGGCTGGGTTTTATAAGAAACCAGACTGAGTAAACCATGAGGAGCAAGCCAGTAAGCAGCATCCCTCCACAGCCTCTGCTTCAGCTCCTGCCTCCAGGTCCCTGCCCTGCTTGAATTCCTGTCCTCACTGTTTCTGATGATGAACTGTTACATGGAACTGAGTGAAATAAACCCTTTCCTGCCCGAGTGGCTTTTTGGCAATGGTGTTTCGTCACCGCAACAGTAACCCCAACTAAGACAGCATTTAAACAGGACCAAAGGTAGAAAGCTGGTTATTTCCATTGCCCAGCAGACCCTGTTAATACCCCACCACCACACAGAGCCTGAGCTGGCTTCCTAAATAAAAATGCAGAGGAAGATGGACCTGGAATGGATTTCAATGAGGTCTCACCCCAGATGATGGGGATTCACAGAAGACATCAAGTTCAATAGAGAACAATAAACCTCGTGACACCTCTCGGTGCTGAGTTGGTAATTAAATTCCAGTTGGCTGCATCAAAATGTGGGCACCATGGTCCCTCATCTCCCCAGGGATACAACCTGTTCCCCTTACTTCCACAAACCCCTGTCCCCAGCTCAGGGCACAGCTGGGCTGCCAACAAACCTGTAACTGACTCCACAAAACCCCTCCCCCAAACAGTATTGGATTTCTAAAAGCCTCTATTGCTTTTAGGGAGAGATCTGAGGAGAAGAGGCTGTTTCCCGGGGTCTCAGCCTGCAGCAGGGTTTTCTGGGTCAGTTCTAGTTCCTTCTTCATTAGGAACGCCTGCAGACTGCCTGTACTTAGGCCCGAAGCCAACCTAGCCATGGCAAGATGGAGTACACAGTTCATGGGCTCCTGACGAAATTAATTAAAGGCAGGATGATGGGAAGATGGATGAAGGCTGTGGGGCATCAGAACTGCCTGGAGTTCTGTCTTCAGAGAGCTTGTGTCAGAGCTGCAGACTGAGTTCTGTGAGGACCACATATGTGGACATCGGAAGATGCCAGTCCCTGCCACATTGGGAAGCAGGATGCCCCGCCTCCTCGTTTTTCAAAGAGACTTTGCCATTGTAGGTAATGTCCCTCGGTGTTTTAATATCGGCCAATAGCTCATTTTTTTCCGACATTGGCAGATCAAGTAAATTATTCCTCCAGGTTGGATAGAATGGATTGTCACACACACACACCATCACATACCCACTCACAATCCACTCACACAACCATCACACACCTATTCACACATTCACTCATAATCCACCCACATACCATCACACATCCACCCACCCCCACGCACACACACTCTATCAACTCTGATCAGCTGCCCCTCTCTATCAGAATGACCAGTTTCCATGAAGAAATTAGTAAGCTGCAGTAGGTAGTCACCCCTGTCCATTTCTAGATCTTTCCTAACTAAAGTCAGAAGTCATAGGAAGGAGTCACCCTCCAACTTGGGCAATCAGCGGGACTGAGGGAGCAGGTCGCATTTGAACCAGCCTCACTGAAGGGATGGAGAGCAGTGGACACCCAGCCTTGTGCCATACATATACAGAAGCGACCGGCCTAAGCAGTAAAAGGCAGCATAGGAACCATGGGGACAGCAGGTACCAGCTGCATGGCCTGCAGCAGTAGGAGGTGGCTGCACACCCACATCCTCCAGTCTCTCCAGGGAACCCCAAGGAAAGTGTCAAGTATCAACGCCTCCACTTCAGCCGCAAATAAATGACATTTGCCAACTCGAAGTGCACACAGTAAACACGGTTAATCTGCTGTTTGCATAATGAGGGCTCACAAAATTAAACCCATTTCAAGGGAAGTAGAAACATGCAGCAGGCCTCTGATGCCTAGCCCACGTTTTTACGACAATTGCGAAATCTGCGGGTACCCACCCCCCCCCCCCGTGACACTGGCAGGAAGTGGATTCATCTATGCTGGCAGGGGATGGGCAAGAGTCAATACAGCCAACAAGCCAAGACCAGGCAGGACACTGCACAGGCCATGGCCCGGTGAGATGATGGATAATAAGGACTCAATTTTTGAAACTTTCAAAGTCCCCATAAACTTTCCAAGTGTGCGCAGCAGATGGAGATAAATGACCTCAAGAACATCCACAAAACCTATGTGAGAACAGGGAGGCCAGGGACATTTGGGTGGCTTACCTGCTAACTGACTGGTGACCTGAGCAAGGCTCAGCCCTCCCCATGCTTGCCAGCCCAGATCAGCAGGGGGTTTGTGGGAGGCAGACCCAAAAATCCCTAGCCCTCAACTCTGTGTTGGAAAGTTCCATTCTAAGGAAGCAGTTGACACCTGCTTGCCAGCCTCCAACCCTAGCCTGGTGTGTTTATATAAACAGATGTGACCTACTGCAGCTGACTCTCAGGGTACAGAGGAACAGTCTGCAGATTAAGGCTACTGTCCCTTCCCAGAGCCCTATGAAGAACAGCATGACACCAGTTGGGCACTGTCCTCACTCTGTTCCTGCACTCCCGTACTCTGCTAGGAAATGTCAGCCCTGGACTAGCTTCAGGACAATTCAAGTAACAGAGCAGTGAGCCGGCCGACAGGTGGACACTTGAGGATGTTCAGAGCCCTGGACGAACTCATCCAAAACTGCCAAATCCTCAGCAAGGATCCTAAGTCATATAGGATAGCGAACATGTGGCCCTCACAAAAGAAAAGTAGCTGAGAAACTGCCCGGGAGGAGCCAGTGTGATTGAAGACCCTGAAAGAGCTAAAGCCACCAGCAGAGTGTGATGGTGATGTCTCTTCAGAGTACCAGATAGCAGATGGGATTTTTTAAAAAAGGAGAAACAAGGATCAAATGGGCACTCTGGAACTGAAAAGTATAATCATTGAAATGAAAACTTCACTGAAGGAGCCAGCAGGGGCCAAGCAGCAGGAGGAAGAGTGGGGGAAGCGGGGGTGGGGGGAGGACACTCAAACACTACACAGACTGTGACACATGATGACCAGAGGAAGCAGGAGACAACAGAGTCCCCAGAGAAACGCAGACACCGTAGGACTTCCCTGAGGCGCCGGAGAGTGTCAGAGAGCAGAGCCATGCGGGTGCCTGAAGACACCATGGCCACTTCAACAGTTGATAAGAACAAGACAGAATGTCAGAGAGGGCAGGAGGGAGGCTGCGTGGACACGACTGAGTGCAAAGGCTGAAGGAAGTGGAAAATGCTGAACAACACAGGGGGAAGGCAGCCCTTCCACTCCAGGACTGACAGGATAAAGAGCAGACTTCAGGGCCCACAGTGGAGACAGAGGCAGGCAACGAGGGGCCACAAAGTGCCCCAGGGAAAAGAATCTGGGTCCAACACAACCTTGTAAGAGGAAGGTGAGACAGACAGGGCTGGATAAACAAGCGTCTGAGATAGAGTGCTCCAGATTGAGGATTAGTGACACCAAAGGCAGTGACATGCACAGACACGCACATCAGTGCAGGCACAAAGACACACACATGCACGCATACAGAAACACACACACAGACACAACCACAGACACACACCAATGCATGGACATGCATAGGAACACAGACCTCCTACACACACACACAGTACCAATAAATTACGGAATTATAAGGAACAGTAGAGTTGTGTGCCCTCCTTTCCCCCCCTCAATTGAGTTAAAAAGCAATAATATCAAATGACATTTATAGAGCTGTATTATTAGGCCCATAACAAATAGAAATGTAATAAGCTTCCAAGGCATACAGGAGAGGGAGGGTGACAAAGCTGCATTGGAGCATAGTGACAAAGCCAGATGCCAATTCAGACTAGCAGGGACAAACACAGAGGACCAGACATGGTGCGTCCAATAGATGATAGGACAAATGTTGCAGATACACATCCCATCTCTTTCTTTCTCGGCCTCTTTTAAAGAGGCAAAGTTGATAAAGTGATATTACAGCCCATGCCCCCCACCCATGTAGATGTGATATGTGTAGCAATAACCACAGAAAGAGGAATAAAGTAATAGAACCACTTAAAAGCAACGTTTCCGTGTTACACTGTAATTCAGTAAGAACATAAAATAGATTTTAATATGCTGAAATGCATACAGTAAGCACAGGGGCAACCACTAAGAAAACAACCCAGAAAATACGGTGGGAAACTCATTAAGAGAATTAAAATGCTGCTCATGAAAATACCCACTTAATTCAAAAGAAGGCAAACCAGGAACAGACCAAGTGACGTCAGTACCTCACTTCAAATGATGGGGAGAGAAAATAGAGGGAAGATCTGGGCCAAAACAGAGAACTCAAATGTCACCTTGAGCTCGCTAAGCCTGACACTGATAGAACATACCATCCAAGAGTAGAAAGCACACATTCATAAGCCATGAGACCGACCTTGATATGTTCGAAAGTAGAATCACACTGACCATTCCCATCTTCACCAACGTCACCCCCACAGTCTGATTCCCCAATCCCATCCATCTCCACCTGGCTGCATCCCATCTCCACAAGACCCATCCCATCTCCACCTGACCCCATCCTATCTCCCCCCAACTCTAACCCACATCCCCCTCCTCTGCCTCATGGCCAACAAGACCCACTCCATCACATCTGTCCCACCTCTACCTGCCCCTCCATCTCCGTCCAGAGTTATCTTAACTGGTTCTATCCCTGCCATCTGCCCCACGCCTCCTACATACCCCAGCCTATCCCATAGTAGTAGAGATGCTTGCTGTCCTCCGACCCGAAGACCTTTATCACCATGCTGTAGAGATGCAGTCCCTCCACCAGCATCCAAGCAAAGGCACTCAGGAAGAAGTAGTGCAGGAGGATGGCCAGCACCTGGCACGGGACCTATGAGCCAAGCAAAGATGCGGGGTGAGGCCATGTCAGTGGCCACGCTGAGGTTTTTCTTCCCAGTGTCGATTTCCTGTACACCTCTGGTCACATGACCTCATTTTCATCCTGCTCCATTTCTCAGTCCAAAGTTCTTCCACAACCTCTGGCTCTGCCACTCTCTGCTCATGCTCACTCTTTGCACGGTGACTCAAGAAAGGACTCCACCAAAGCCCCCCTCCCTGGCATCTCCTGAAGAGACACCTGGGTGTGTAGGAGCAGCTGCAGGGGTGAGGAGCAGCACCTACTCACCGTGCCGGGCTCCACACGGAAGCTGATGAGCAGCAGAACCTGGGCCACCAGGACAGCGAAGGACAGGTTGGCATGGATGTGGTAACGCTGGTTCCGAATGGTGCTTACAGAACTGAAGACAGAGAGGTGAGTGTGAGTGGCGGAGCTCAGACTTGACATCCTATTCCCAGTCTGGTCCCCTACCTACTCCTCTTCGAGACACCATGACTATCTCTATAGACCCCACTCCTCCATGCCGTCGCTCCCTGCTTGGACCCTATTACTTTCGGCTAGCACCCCAGCTGCTCTCACAGACCCAACCACCCTGCACTCCCTGAGCCCTTCCTGAAATTCCAGGGGCTTTTCTAACTCCCCTGCACCCTCTTCTGTTTCCCACCCTCCCCCCTGGGGGTGGGGTGGGGACACTAATCTGAATTCTGAATTCGAACCGGCAGAATATACACCCTGTGACATCATGTACATCATTGAGGACAGCAGGGAGAGGAGGAACCACTTGGATCCTGGAGGATGGGTGCGGGACTAGCCATCTTTTCATAGTCACTCCTGGCAGGGCTCTGCCTGTAGGCTAAGATGGCAGCCAGCAGGGAGAGCTTCCTAGCCTCCCACACCAAGATGCTCACCTCTGCACTGTCTTCTTGTGCATAGCAGGCTGTGCAAGAAAGCATTTATTTATTCTTTGGCTTCCTTGGTTATTGATGGGCCCTATCCAAAGGCATGCATGAATTGGCCTCATAACCAGACAGCATAGCTTGCTGAGGAGGAAAGAGTCAAGGATGCACGCCTGTGCTAAACTCTTGCCTGGCTCAGGTCCCCCCAGAACTCCTCAAGTGTCGGTGACCCCACTCCGCAGGCCCTGCTATTTCTTTATATCTTCCCTGTTCCCCAGATTTCGAAAGTGAATGTCACTGTCACTAAAGAGCAGTCATATAGTCACATCTGTACCCCACCTAGCAAGGCTGCGATACACCCCCAGGCTCTTCAAAGCCAGAGAGGGGTATGACAAGAGCAGCTGGATGCATAGGCATTTCCAGTAAGTTGCCAAACGTCCTGGGGACACAAGGAGAGGGTGACTCACGACAGTACTGCGAAGGTGACCAGCGTGGCAGCCAGGCAGAGAACTGACAGAGAGCAGCCAACATAACTGATGGACGACAGCGCCACCTGGTGTCCATGTGTGAGCTGCAGGAATAGAACAAGGTGTGTGTGTGGGGGGGGGCGGTGACAGGCCTTCCTCAATTGACCCCATTCTGTGGCTGGGAGGGTGTCACGTGTTGCCAGGGTGCTGACCCTGTGATGCTGACCACCAAGGCCTGCCTCCTGCCCCAGCCACAGGCAGAGGGATATGCCGCACTGGACTTCAGGGTTGACATTTCCCATGCTGCAAGTGGCTTCCTGACTTAGGCGGCCTGATCCCTTCTACTACAACACCACCCCCCCCCCAGGCTCAAGCCTGTTCATCCATGTCTGAATGGGTGACCTAGGGTGGCCAGAGACATACTTCCTCTGGCTATGAAATGCAGAAAATAACAGTGATGGACTGGAAGTGGGGGAGGGTCAGTGGATTCATAGACATAAAGGACTCAAGTTAGGTTATTCTCACTCAGAGGCCAGTACCCTCTCTGGTCCTCAGTTTAAGAGCATCACTAGCTCCCAAATTGGCAGTCATCATATGCTTGTCTTCATTGGCAGGCCACACCAGCCCTTGGGACCCTTCTCTTGAGGGAACACCCATGTGGCCACCTAGACTGACATCTGTTGTGGTAGGCCATCTTTCGTGAGCCCAGCAGCCTGTACTTGACTGTCCCATCCGTGCCCTAGCATCCGGTACCCACCCATGTTCTGTTGAGGCTGGTTCCTTCCCATCTGTGGCTCTCAGGGATGGTGTCCCAGCTCAGATGTGCCCTAGCATCCGGTACCCACCCATGTTCTGTTGAGGCTGGTTCCTTCCCATCTGTGGCTCTCAGGGAGGGTGTCCCAGCTCAGATGGATGCCAAGATCCCCCCAAGCAGCTCTCCGGCCCTGGACAGAGCCCAGTACAGCCAGACCTTGAGAGACACTATGGTTCCCTGGGCAGCTCTAGCTTGGCAACTGTCCCTCACCTTAATCAGCGATAGCATTTGCTGACCACAGGCAGGAGCCTTGCTAGGGATGAGCCCAGGCTGTCAGCATTCTGTGCCCCATGGAGACGGATACACAGTGCAGGTCCAGGTGGGCATGAGCCACCCAGCTGCTGTGGCAGGATGGAGAGTCCCTGAGCCCTCATGGGGTTAATCAGACAAGGAGTCCAACCCCCTCCAGCTCAAGTCACCCCATGAAAGTCAACCGCAGGGTCCAGGGCTCCAACATTTCCCTCTAAGAGGCAGAGTCTCTTTGTCTCCCATCAGCCACTTGGCTTACCAGGAAAACAAGGTATATCTGCCCTTCACCGTGAACAAAATTCAGGACTTTCATCAAAAGCCAGGGGGCTCCCCAGGGCTGATGAAGTGACAAAGATGTCTCTGGGAACTAACTACCTTCCTGGCTATAGGGCAGAACCCAGGACATGGAGTGGCCACTCGCCCAAGAGGCCCCTATAGCCCACAGGAGGAAAAAACTATTGGGCTCTTTCCCCGTCGTCTGTACAGGCTGTCAGAGACTAAGATCAGCCTGCAGTGCAAAGCCAGGCAAGGACAGAGGGAGAGAACCCATGGACCAAAAACCCAGGGCCGAGTCCTTCATGAACACCAGCCACCAGGAGATGAGGACCCTCTCATGGACGGACAGGTCCTGACCCTAAAGTGCTGGGGCAAGAAGTGCAGGCAAGGGTCCCCAAGCTCATCTCAGAGACAGCCAGGCAGCTTGAGATAGTGGGATAGGTTTTAGCATTGAACTTCATGGGCTTCAAGTCCACCAGGAGGGCAGCCCACAGCTCCCAAAGGGTCGGGGGTAAAAGGGGTGTATGACATCTCATCCTGGTCTGAAATGGCTGGAGAAAAATACCACCACTGAAGCATGCCCCCACGGAGGTCAGAGTCCTGGAGGGACACAGCAGTGGATCTCATGAATGTGGCTGGTCTGTACCCACCAATTGCCAAGATACACGGATTCATTTGTAAGAAGGGAGCAATCTTCACCCTTTGTTCGGAGAACAAAGAGGTGCTTGCTGCAGGCTCAGAAGGCATGTCGGTGATGATGGAAAAGCCTGCGTGTGTGCAGGACCCAGGAGACAGGAGAGAGGAGAGGGTGTTGGTTTGCTCTCTGCCCGGTGTGTATAATCTCTACAGAATCCACAAAGAATTCCTCCACTTCCTTATGCCTCTCCCATCTGGTCCTTGGACTCCTGTGGGGCTCCCTGTCCATAAGGAGGCCAGAACCTACGCTTCAGCACACTTCAACCTTGTAGTCAGAGCTGCTTTCTCAGCCCTTTGTTTCATTTGGGGCCCTCTAGGATGAAGACTTCCCTCTGCCCCATCTGCCCTGTCCCTGTATCTCCAGCCAGCAAGCCCACCCCTGTCCCTTGGAGAAAGAACCCCATTCTGATGGCAGCCTCCTTCTGAAATAGGATCCCACAGGAGGCAGACAGCCCCTCCCCACAGAGAGCTCCTGAGTGCCTCCCCCCCTCCCTGCACTTCAGAGCAGCTGATTCTTAATGAAGGTTCTAGAATAATATCTGCAACATCCGTGTTTCTATTTCAACAGTGGTACCCTGGGTCTGGCTAGAGGAGCTGATGTCAGAGAGTCAGAAAGGGGACCCCAGAGTAAGGAACTAGGGTGGGGCTCCCCAGAGGTTCTCTAGCAGCCTTGTTACATGTCTCCCTCATCTCTTCTGTCCCAGATGCCCTGCTCTCTCTTCTCCTCCCTCTCCCTCCTAGGAGCAGTTTGCACAGTTACCTTACTTCCTAGGCTCGCTTCCATGGCCCAGGTGGCCCAGGAGCATCCTCAGATCCAAAAAGGGAAAGATGCCTGGCAAAGAGCAGCCAAAGGGGAGGCTGCCACGGGGTGAGAATGAGACAATGGGAGACAGGATGGTGGGCAAAAACCAATTTCAAGGGGGATGCAAGGGGAGGGGAGGGGGCAGGACGGGGAGCAGGAAAGTGCTCTGAGACCTCTAGCCTGCAATGTAATTTGTGCCCTACAGGTGACATTGGCATCCAGCATCCCTTTAGTCACTCTTCTCCCCTTTATTACTGAGGCAAGGTCTCTTGCTGAAGCCAGAGCCAAATAGCCTGCTTAGCCAGCTTGCAGCAGGGATTCACCCATGCCAGTTCAGTTTTTCTTTGAATGGCCAGGGGCTTAAACTCTAGTCCCCACTTGCATGGTAAATGCTTTGCTCACAGAGCCATTTCCAACGCTGAGGTTTTGACATAAGAGGTCCACCGTCCCAAAGGGAGTGGTTTGACCTGCTCCTCATCCTCTCTCTACCCCAATCTGAGCCCTCACACTCAGGACCTCCCTAAGACCCCCCCCCATGCTCAGAGCTCATTCTGTGCCAGGCATGGAGTTCAGGGGCCAGGGACTCAGGGCTGGGGGTTAGGGGGATGATGAACACCTGGCTCAGAGACTGAACCCTCAGCTGAATGCTCAAGGCTAGGAACTCAAAGCAGGGAGATCTGAGGCTGGGTTCTGAGACTGGCTGATGCCCACTCCCTCCCCTTCTGCTATCTGCCATGGGCCTCCAGGAACAAGCCCCACCCTTCGCACCCCACCCCCATACTGCAGGCGGTAGAGCTAAGGCTCAATAGGCCCATCCAGCACATGGCAGCACACGTGTGTCCCAATTAGCTGGTGCGGTTGACTTAGAGAGGGGCTAGTTCTGAAGACCCGTGGCCCAGGACAGGGACACAAGTATTACTGGAGGCTGACTGACATACATAGGCTTGAATGTCCTGTAGGAGGAGCCTGTCTGTGCCCAGTCATCATATAGTCCTATAACACCTCCTCCCCAAGAAACACCCACGTGGCCCCGGCTTGCCACATTCCTGGGACCACAAAAGTGGCTCATACAGCGCTTGTAATGGTCTCATCACTCCTTGCTTTCACACCTATATACTGGGCCCCTTCGTGGCTACATATGACTGCCACTACCTTGGGTCCAGGCTAGAGATGATGCAATGACCATAAGTGGAAAGGGGTTCCACAACAGCACCCCATATAACGCATCCAACACCAGCTTCAGGACAGCGCTGTGTACCTTGGCTGTGCCCTTTCTTTCCCACCGTGGCCAGATTTAGAAATGCCCGAAAAAACCCTGGCGTTGGTTTCAGGACTGGATCCCTCTGAGTCAGCGACCACAAACTCAATGCCCTTGAAGTGCCTGGAGAGACTGCAGGAGGCCAACCGGAGGCCAACCGAGGCTCCTACTCAGAGGAGCACAAGGAGCCACTCAGCCCAAATCCTTTGTCTGAGCCCCTCAGAGTGGCTAGGTCATCTTCCCCCCTTCCTCTCCCTACCACCCCCACCCCCGGAATGAAAAGTGTTGTCGCTTTCTACTGATCATGGAGGGGGAAGATGATGGAGGCAAGGATGATCTGGACCTGTGACCCCTTCCCCCAAAGGGGCCAGGATATCTCTATTCCCTCCAACATTGTTTCTGGTCAAGTTCAGCTCAGTATGGCTGGGTCTTCTGCTCTTTAATTAAATTTTCATTTACCAGCTCCCCTCCCCCGTGTGTGTGGGGGGGCACATGTGTATGATGCATGGGCACATGTGTGCTTGCATGTGGAGGTCTGAGATTGAGCCCCTAGGAAAAAAACAGGCATGGAGAAGGACTGGAGAGACCTCAGAGAGTGAACGAAACACGAGAAGACAAGAGTGCCAGAGGGCAGACTTGAACCACAAACCCAAAGACCACGAGGATGAACTTAGGTGCCCAGGAAAAAGCTGGCTTGGTATCAAGAAGTAGAGGTCATTCACAACACCTTTGGAATCCTATGAGTGTCCCCCAGGCTTGGCCTCACTTGCGAGAGCTGCCTTAATTTCGTTAATGTTCATGAACTGTTCCTTTTAAACAGCGATAATTTTAAACCATTTTCAAATCAACCTTTCCTAGCGCTGAATAGATGTGATTTTTCTCCCACGAAGACACCCACAGGCTGTCTAAATTTGGTGTCACTGATACTGACTGGTGACAGTTTTATGATATAAATGAGTCTGGATTTCCTTCTTCTTCTGTTGTTTTCCCCTTTTTGACTTTGGAGATCGGACCCTTCTCGGGACAAATGCCAGGCATGAGTGGCTGCTCCCTGGAGAGTCTGCATCCCTTGTGCTGCTCAGCAGACCCTCCCGGGTAGAACAAAGAAAAGCAGAATATCCCTCAGTTCAGTGGTCCAGCATGTGGAGGACCCAGAGGAAGAAGCTCTCTACCCCGGTGTCATGTGAAATGTCCCCAATGGCGTGAAATCTCCTGTCTCCCTTAGTGAGTCTAGGGGTGCACCTGCACCTTCCCTTTGGTGATACTCAGGTGCCCAGCCAGCATGCTGCCCACTAAGGAGATATTTCCAGAGGTAACATCACTGGCCAAGGTACTTTCTCTGCTGGTTCTTGGTGTCTGCTTGTTGAAAGCCATTGGCTCATTTCCTACGACTCCAGAGCATCTTCCCAGGCCAGCTCACAGCTTCCTGCTGATCTCCCCTCCAGGTTCATGGTCTGTGTCCCATGTCCAATCATGCTCCCTTAACCAATGTAGGTTTCTATTCGAGCCACATGTCAGACTCCCCAGCTTGCTCTTCAAAGGCATTAATGTGTCCAGCCACACACCCCCCCCCCCAGATATAAGATCACTTTGTAGACAGTCTAGATCTGTTCCGAGGTTGGCAATAGCTGCTGCATCCTGAGGACCAGCAGTGTTTATGTGGCACTCACCTGGAGTGGGACCACTTGCATGAGGATGGCAAAGTTGGTAAGATGTGTGCAGCGACACACTGAATGGGTGAGGTTTCCCTCTGTGAGCGCACAGCCCTGGCTTGACCAGATGCCTTCTCCGGTGCTGAGGACACAAGGACAGGAATGATCAGCGGGAACCATGGCAACCCTCAGCCCCACAGGCTCAACATCTCACCGGCTAACCCTGACACCAGGGTGCAAATATCCTCAGGTATTAAAACTGGGAGGTGGCTGACATTGGTGAGATGACCAAAATATCTCTTCTGGGACAGAGAGAGGCAGGGGCCACTGCCACAGTTTGGTCCACTAGGAAATCACCTACAACCCTCCCAGCCTGGAAAGAAATGTGTGTGACCCAGAGTCTGGCCTGGGAAAGCAAACACTCATGGAATCATGAGTGATCTAAGAAAACTCATTACAGTTCTTAAGCGTGTGTCTGGGGGAAGGTATGTAAAACGCAAGGGGCATAAATAATATAAACATAACTAAAATGCAGTCCATACAAATCTGATGTAACGTGGTATGCATAAACATTGAAACTCCTGCATAACTCTTCAGAAACCTTGAGGCTGGAAATGGTTCAGTGGTTAATGTTACTCGCTGTGCAACTGTGAAGACCTGCGTTTGATTCCCAGCACCCAAGTAAGAATCTGGGCATGGTCCTATGTTCTCCTGTAACCCCAGTGCTGTGGGCAAGTGGAGGCAGGGGCATTGCAGTGATTGGCAGTCTAGACAAAAAGAGTACAAGCTCAAATTCAAGGACAGACCCTGATGCAAAGTAAGCTGGAGAAGTATGGAGGGTACTCAGTGCCCTCCTCTGACCATGGCATGTGCATAGGCATGTGCAGACACACACACACACACACACACACACACACACACACACACACACACCATGTGCATACATTATTGTCACTTAAAATTTTATCTTAGGAATTTGATTTGAGAGAGAGAGAGAGTTGGGAGCTGGGGATATCTGCGTGTAAATACAGGTGAAGAGAGCATCAGATCTCCTGGAGCTGGAGTTACAGGTGGTTGTGAGCTGCCATATGGGTGCTGGGAACTGAACTCAGGTCCTCTGAAAATCAGTCTGTGTTCTTTACCTCAGCCATCTCTCCAGCCCCCAAGAACTTGTTTTAAAAATAATCCTTGGCCAGTGTACACCATTACACATAAAACACAAAAACAACACACACAACATTGTAACGGTATTGGGGAGGCGACACCCACCTGGCTTCTGTGAAGGCACACACAAATGAATGGGAATTATTGAGGAGGAAACTGACAGCCCCTTCACAGAGGCCTCCAAAAACCGGGAGAAGAGGGCAGGGAGGGAGGCTGGGGTCAAATGGAATGTTTACTCTTCTGTAATGTTCTAGTCTCTAATCACTGCTGGAGCTAGGATTTCTTACAGTGACCCTCCAGGCCAATAGACACTGATGCCAGCCAGTTCATCCTTGCAGTGAGTGTACTGGCCTTTGTCATTTTCTTGTCTGTGCTTCTCTGTCATTGCAAATGCCAAACAGGTCTCTTTGTCCACAAAGACAAACCTGTGTCTCAGCTTGAGGCGGGAGCCCCCAGTCTATAGAGCTGAAGGAGCCTGAGACTCTGGCTGTCTCTCATTTGTAGTCTGCTGTAGTTCCTACTTTTACTCTGTCAGGGACAGCTGCCTGGGAATGAGGTAACACAGGACCCCATCATGCAACCCTGGCAATATCCACGGATGAGACACCCAGCTTTAGCAATTTTATGTTCCAAAGAGGCCTGTAGCCATCGCAATAGTTACCCTGCTGTGGGGTGGGGCTGAGAGTGTGGGAAAGGGGCTGTGGTGTGGGTACCGCACCTGGTAACTGAGATGCAGGGAACAGCAGCTTTCTGGGTGGTTTTCATGATGAATGAGCCCAGCTGCCTCCCGAGGGAGGTCAGAGGCACCCAGCAGAAAGCAAAGCCTGGGCCAATGGAACCACGTGTAGAGGGACCAGATCCCATCAATAACTACAGAATGAATACAAAGGAGTTGTGGGCCCCTCCCCCATTCCACATTTGGATCTAACTTTCCCAGGGCCTGGAGAGGGACCCCCACACAGGCAATTGTATTTTACACAGCTACTTTGTATGCCTACTTAACGCAAGGATGTCACATTTCCATTTGCAGTGACCCTGAGAATTAACAGGGGTGGACACGGTCAGGAGGGTGGACATGGCCCTTGGCTCTAGAGGAAGGTGCACAGACAAACCATGAAAGTCATGTCCCAGAACAGAACCCTGAAGGTGTGACTCTGCCCTAATCAGCCAGGGAAGCCAGTTCTGAGAGGTGTCACCTCTATATGGGATGGAAATCTGCTCCCTAGGGAGGCGGTGGGGACAACTGGGAAGCTTCCCAGCTGTGCACAAATAAATCTTCACAGAAGGCAGCTGAGCCATTTCAGATACCATCAAAAATATGCACAGCCTGTGACCTAGGGCATCCATGTGTAGGCAGAAATATGGTCACTCGGGTACATAAATACAATGCAATGTATATAAATACAGTAAAAGAAACAGGTATCAAAAGAGGCAGAACACAAAAGAAAATGGTGTGGAATGGTGCAAGAAATGTCAGACTAAAACACTTCCATTTATTTCCTATGAATGCAAGTGTACATGATACATAAATTATTTCAAAACACATGCATAAACTCAGGGTAAGATGTAAAAAAACACACATACAACAAAGATGTATTTGCTTTTTTAAAAATAGCACTTCACCTTTAAAAAGTAAAAAGAATAATATTTTGAAGTCCAGACGTGGTGGGACAGGCCTGTAATCTTAACACTTGGGAGGCTGAGACAGGAGGTTTGCTGTGAGTTCAAGGTCAGCCTGGGTTAGATTGTAAATTTTAAGCTAGCTTATAAAGTGAGACCTGTCTCAAGCAAATAAAAAAGAAGAATGTGAATATCTATTAGGGGATGGGGTGGAGATTCAGTTCAGTGGTAGATCATGTGCCTGGCATGAACAACTTTGGGTCTCAGCTCTCAGTCCCACAAAGAAAATAAGTAAATGCATGTATACATAAATCTTAAATATATACCAAGGAGTCATTGTATAATTTCTTAGAGAATTAATCTTTTCCAAAAAGTGACCCTTGTCCCCTGGCAAGATGGCTGCTCAGTATAAATAAGCATTTATAAATACGCATTTGCTATCAAGCCTGAGGACCTGAGTCTGATTTGTCTCCAGGACAGAAGGAAAGAGCTAACTCGAGCTGCAGGTCATCCTTAGGCCACCCCATGCACATTCAAGAGCTGTTACACCTACACCCAACTACACATGCACGCCCAGAAATAAGTATGTTTAAAATCCTAAATAATAAAATTAGAAAAAGTGGCCCAGAATTCTAAGACCTGTGTAAACATCTTTCAAATCTGAAAGAGAACTTGTTCTCAGTCGAGCAATAACTGAATTTACTTCTAGCAGGCTCGCAATACAAGGAAAGTTAACGGAATGTTACACTAGACAGAAACGTGGCTCTGCACAAAGACATAAAAATAGCTAGCGATGGGATAAGTGTAGGCGTGCATGGCATGGCCTTGGCCTTGTCTGTAAGTGCTCTTTACAAGATAGCTGATTATCTGGGGCACAAACAAGACAAAACAAAACAAAAAAACCTGTAAAGATCTACTGAAGATAATGACAACCTTACAAGCCATGGCAGGAGGAACTGCACATGTATTAATTACGTCTTTGAATATTTTTAAAGTGATACGCTATCTGTTACAGACAGACACAAGGGCGTGAAGTGTAAATTGTCTGAACAAGCCTATGACAGATGATCTTAAAGCCCCGCTTTTAGTAAAAGAGGATGCAGGGAAATGATGGGTGAAGATGTAGTACTAGAAGGCACTAAGTGAAGGGGTAGAGGAAACCCTGAAGAAATCCTTTGGCAATTAAGAGTGCTTACTGCGAAGCACCCACATTGGGAGGCTCACAACCACCTGTAACTCCAGCTCTGGCCAATCCAATATCTCTGCCTTCTGTGGGAATCTGAGCTCACGTACACAAACCCACAGATGCATGCACACACACACACACACACACACACACACACACACACACACACACACACACACCTAAATTAAAAATAATAAAAATTAAGTTTTACAAGGGCAGAGTAATTGTGTCTAAATGAGATGGTATGGACCGCAGAGTAGCACTGTATCCTCCAGAGTAAAGAAGGAGGTACCACAGACAAGAGCAATTATCCCAGGCCACCATCACTGGAGAATACACATGCCTCCTCTCACTTCACTGTTAGTAGTCATCTCTTTCTTAGGTCTTGTTCACTCTATCTCTCAGACCGAACTCAGAGCCTCATGGACGCTAAGCAAGGGCTCTGTCACTAAGCCATATCTCTATCTCCCTTTTTACTTTTTTACTGAGCTGACTGGGCTAGCCTTGAACCCACTCTGTAGCCTCAGCAGGCTTTGATCTTGCTGTCTTCCTTCCTGTCTTGCTGGCTTGTGACTTTGAGCCCAGTTTCTCATTCTTGGAATTAGCTCCAGAACCCCTCATGGAGACTACACTACAAAGAAGCTCAAATATTTAAGGTGGCCTGAAATTTGCATAGTGCCCCTACACACTGTCTTACATTCATCTCCAGATGATACATAACATAAATGAAATGTGAATGGCACATGGACAGTTATATGATGGAGGGAATAATGACAGGCACATTCTCATTACAGGATCAATCCCCCCCCAACCCAAGCATTTCAGGCTTTTAGTTGGTTGAATATCTACCACAAAATTCATGGGTACTGAAGACCAAGTGTGATTGGCAGGACAAGTTAACAGAACAGTAGCAAGACCAGAAGACCTGTGAGTGACCACCACTTAATGCGGCCTTGCTGACATTTATGGAACTCCCCGCCACTGATGCATTGTCTCCCAAGAGCACTATAGAATGGGTTGTATAAACAACTTAAAACACATTTTAAAACCAAGGCTATAGAAAGAAAGTACCGTTTAGATCATAAAATATTTAATTATAAATCAATAGCAGAAAGGGCTCTAGAAAGTTTCCCAATGTTTGGCAGTTAAGCAACTCCTTTCAAAATGAACTAAGGGGACTGTAAGATGGCTCAGAAGGTAAGATACTCACCATCAAGCCCAATGACCTGAGTTCCATCGCTGGAACTCACATAGTAGCAGGGAGAACTGACTCCCTGGGGTTGACCTCTGACCTCCAGATGCCACACACCATGGCGAAAACATTTGAAATGGATAGCATTGTCCTAGATCTGTCATGTGATTGCACAGCTGCGCTCACTTATCAAAACCCAGAGAATTATGCTTTCAAACTGGATTTTCCTGAATATGTAATAAGGAATCATTTGAAAAGTGGTCTGGCTGGATGCTTGTGGTGTGGCTGTCTCTGGGAGCTGGGGCTAAATAGAATTGCTCTGTGCACGCGTATCTACAGAGGTTGATACCATATCTTGGCTATTGTGTGCAGTGCTGGGAAAACATTCTCTCTAACGTGCTGACTTCCCTTTCTTTGGATATGCACCAGCAGTGGGGTCTGATTTTTTTTTTTCTCGAGGAACCTCCATACTGATTTCCACAGTGGCTGTGCTAACTCAGACTCTCCCTTTTCTCCACACCCTGGCCAGCACTGCTGTCGGTTGTAGTTAGTTTCAGCTGTCAACTTGACACGATCCAGAAGCATCTAGGAAGAGGGAACCTCAGTTGAAGAACTGCTTCCATCAGATTGGCCTGTGGCCACATTTGTGAAGTATTTCCTTAATTGCTAATTGACTTGGAAGGGCCCTTTCCACTGTGGGTGGTACCATCCCCTAGTCAGGTGGGCGTGGGTGGGTATATGACAGGTAGCTGAGCAAGCTGGGGAGAGTAAATGGTGTTCCTTCATCGTCTCTGCTTCAGTTCCTACCCTTGGCTGCCCTCCATGATGAACTCGAACATGGGAGCCAAATGAACTGTTTCCTCCCCATGTTGCTTTTAGGCAGAGTTTTATCATATCATTAGAAGCTAACCAGAATGCTCTCTTTTATCTTTTTTTTTTTTTTTTTTTTTTTTAAGAGTCAAATAGCTCATTTGGTAACACGGAGTGAAAAGAAGTGTGTGTGTGTGTGTTGCCCACACGCACATATCCAGGTGTGTGTGTGTGTAGGTACACAAGTGTGCGTGAAGGTCAGAAATCAACCTTGGGTGTCATTCCTCATGTACCATCTATCTTCTATTTTTTGACAGGATCTCTCCCTGGCCTAGAGCTCACCTAGCAGGCTAGATCAGATGCCAGCCAGTCCCAGGCATCCTCCTGTCCCTGACTCCCAGCACTGGAGCTACAAGAACATGCCCCCATTCTAGCCTTTCACATGCATTCTGGGGAGTCAAACTCAGATCCCCATGCTCACACAGCAAATATTTAACTGACTGAGCCTTCTCCCCTGTGCCAAAAAGAAACTCATAAATCTTCTTCTCTCTTCTTGTGGCTGACTGCACTGTGGTGGTCAAAAGGCCAGCGACACAAGAATTCCCTCGCAAGCTTGATCTTTTACAGAAATGAGAAGAGGCCAGAGTTACTCAACTTGCAATTATCCTCTAGACAAGAGTCCCGACCGCTGGGCACCCAGCGTCTCAATGGCTGCTACAATCTCTGTCTTGTGTTATTGGAATCTGTGAGAAGTTTCACTAATGTGTTCAATGCCTGCGTCTCAGCCGGCTGTCAGAAGCAACCTGTATTCCAGGACTGTGAATATGGCCCCCTCAACACTGGTTCATCTTTCTGGCCTTCCCAGGGTTCCCTTGAATTTCACTGCCATCTCTCCATGGCAGTTGGCTATAAATACCAACAATTTCCTCTTCTGGTTTGTAGTTCCCAGAGTCAGCCCTGCTTGTCCCTTATCCCTTTCTCCTTGAAGAACACAAGCCCCACCCCTAGAAGCTGGCTTGGTTTGGATCTGCACTGCTGCCTTAGGGTTTCAATGAGATGTTCCTCAAAACTGCAGGTGACTGTATTCTTGAATGAAGTGAGTGATATGTGTTTACATGGAACCCTGCGGGCAGACGCAGGTTCTCAGCAGCCCTCATTGGCCTGGCTTAACTCTTTTTTTCATGGAACTCTTTCTGTCCAGCCTCTTTCTCGGCCACATCTTCTCAGCTTTCAGGGCTCTCTGTGATCCATTCTTGCTCAGTTTAAGCTCGTCATCCACTCCTATCTCAGCCTCTTGCATCACCCCTGAGGTCCCCACCCACAAGCCTCACCTTGTCCATAGAAGCCATTCCTACTGCAGTGGGGAGCTGTCTGGCTGTGATCTTATTTGTATTTCCCTGAAGATTGGGATATTGGTTTCTTTCTTTTCTGTGTCTGCCAGCCATTTTTATTTCTTCTTTTGGCAAATGTCAATTTAGGTCTGTCACCCATGACTTAATCAGGGTCCTTGGGCCTCTGGATATTGGGCTGTTTGAGTTTCTGGAAACTGTTTCTGGACATTAACCCCAACACTAGACATCAAATAGGAGATGTTTTATTATGTTTATTTATATATTTGGGGGTATGTGTGCATGCTAGAGTAAGAAGCCTGTGCAGGTAAAAGGGGAGTTGGTTCTCTCCTCCCACCATGTGAGTTTCAGAGATCAAAGTTTGGGTTATGAGACTTGGCAGCAGACACCTTTACCCACTGAGCCATCTCGCTAGCCCCAACACTAATATTTTGATATGCCAACCAGTGAATGATATTTCCCAAAGTCCTGAGGCCCAGCCCTCTCTCAAGACCCTCATCATAGAAGGCAGTAGGACAGCATTTCCATGTGGCCTCAGGATGCCCCGATGAACTGATTCTAAGGACTATAAAAGACCTCTGAATCCACGTAACCTCCAGTCACACCCAATCAGGCCTTGCCTCATGCAATGCTCACGCAACCCGTTAGCTTCAGAAACATGTGACCCCTGCCCTGCTCTGTGTCATGTGAGACTAGCCTGGGGTGGACACCTTACTGTCCTCCCATTTCCCTCCCGCTTCCCCCCTTCTGTCCACCTGGTAGCCTCCACACCCACAGTACCTGAAGTTAAGGAAGGCGCAATACAGGAAGAGGCGGTTGCTCTCATTGGTGGCATCGACATACTGCTTATGAGTCTGAAATGAAAGGAAATGGATACATCTGTGACACAGCAGGAAAGGCCAAACGCATGTCCCGGAGTGGGAACAGGATTCCTCACAGGGGCTGTGACAATGGCTCAGCGCTTACCATGCAGGACCTGACGGCTTGATCTCAATCCTTAAACCCAAATAAAAAACCAGATGTGGTGGAGCACATCTGTAATTCCAGGGTCCCTATGGCAAGATGAGTGATGAGGACGAGAGAGTTGAAAGTTATAAGCCAGTTAGCCTGGGCACCTGGCATAGTTCCAAAATAAGAGAGAGCCTGCTTTGACAAGATAGGAGGCAAGAACTGACTCCTGAAAGTTGTCTCTGCCCTTCACACCTGTGCCATGGTATCCACATGCCTGTACCAATACACACAAATTTTAAAAATGTTTTTAATTTGTTTAAAAAGATTTTCAAACTTTAAAATATATGTGTTTGTATGTATGTGTGTCTGTGTGTGTGTGTGTGTGTGTGTGTGTATGTGTGTCTGTGTGTGTGTCTGTGTATACACGAATGTGAGTGTAGTGCCCATGGAGGTCAGAAGTGGGCCCTGGATCCCTTAGTGCTAATTATAGGTGGTTGTGAGCCCCCTGAAATGGGTGCTGGGAACCGAACTTGAGTCTGCTGCAAGAACAGAACAGCACACATATCCCTCCAGCCGCATTTAAAAAAAAAAAAAAAGTTGTTGGCTTTCTTTTTTTTTTAATTTCCCCAAAGATCTCTCACATCCTGAACATCCAGGACGCCTGTGACAAAGCTGGAGAAGCCAAGTGTCCAGTGTGAACTAATTCTAAACCACGCCCCCCCCCGCTTCCTCAGATCAGCACCTGCAGACTTCCAGTCCATAAACAGCCTGCAATCAGGGTGCTATTGAGTTTGTGAGTATGAAGGAGGATGAACTCTGTGGAATGGCATGGGAACCTGGAATTGGAACCACTTGCCTCAGAATGCAACAGAAAGGGTTTTTATGCCATCCCTCCTCCTAGGTACCACACATCTATAAGGCACTCGGAGAAGTTTTGACACAAGGAACCCAGAGTACTCTGTGCCTGCCACACGACATTCAACAGCTTCTGGTTACCCAGTGATGGAGAGGGGGGGTAGGAGTCAGAGCATGCACAAGAGCCCCACAGAGGGTGGATGATGTAACACTGAGCCAGAAGGTAGGAAGGACCATGTGAGGATGAACCTGTGTTTGCTCTCTCCCCTGGACCCAAACAGCACAGAAATGTCTAAGAGGTGCATCTCTGTGTCACCAAGGTCATTTAGAAGCATTTAAAGCAAGCAGGTGGCCAAAGGAAGCCAGCCCCAAGCCCCCATGATACAAGAGATACGGACTCTAGGGAAGTAGTAGGAACACTATCTTCTCCTGGGTGGTTTCCTTCTGCTCCTTACACTCCCTGAGACCAGAGTCTAAATCATCTTTCAAAGGAAATGTGCAGCTGTGCAGCTGGCAGTGCAAAAAAAAAAAAAAAAAGCCAAGTGTGTGTGGTCCATAAGGGAGGGGTAGATTAGCCTTCTTGGGTCTGGGGCCAAGGTCACAGCCCTGACTAGGAATTCCCTGCCCAGCTGGTCCTCAGGCTCTGTCCCAGGCTCAGCAATTGGGCTGGGAAAAGTGAGTTGCTTGGAAAAATAAAAAGGAAGGCTTGCCATTTCCAGAGAGATTTTAACATATGGGAATGTGACTGTGCCAAAGGAAAGGTGAGTCACCTCGAGCAGCCCACGTTCCACTTGCAGAGGACCGTGGGAGGCCAACAGCTCATCCAAGTCCCAGTTGCCTGGGCTGGAGAGAAAAACCATTTCCGCAGGTCAGCAGGATGCTGGGCATCCAGAAGGACCTGGCAGGGTCTCAGTGAAGGAAGATCCTAGCAGAGAACCCCACGAGCATCCCATACAAGCCTGATTGCCCCCCTCCTCCTACCACCCCCACACCTGCTGTGCATCCGGAGCTATTCAGAGGCTGCAGAATAGCTCCTGCAATTCCACCTCTGGAGTCAGCTTCCCAGTGGGTTTAACCAACCAATTACTCATCTCCTGCTGCTTATAGGTAAAGTGTGGGCTTCTGGACATGAAAAGGAAGGAAATATGTCTGAGAAGTTCCCTTAATACCCCTTGTTTTGGACACGTGCTTGCTTTATGTTTTAGTGTGTGGCTTTACTGATCAAAAAAAAATTGGGAGACACTTCTTCTTCACCACTGTCCCCAAGCATAAGGCAGATGGCACCGTGGTCCTTAACTCTGACCCTCAGCAAGGCAGCATCACAGACTAAAATAGCCGCATTCCCCAGCAAAGGACCAGACACAGGCAGACAGGCAGAGCCCCGCCCACCACCCCCACTTCTTCACTTCCCATTGGCTTTTTCCCCAGCATCTCAGGCCCATCTCTGAATGACAAAGGGTCTCACAAGACAGAGGCTGGATGGTCTCTGGTTTCCGAGAATCTCAGGGTAGCCCTTTGTAGCCCAGGAAAGCCCTGGCATGGAAGACTAGTGGATCCTCTGGGTCAGAGCCAGGAAGGAGCAGTTGGGTAGGTTCCTGTCCCAGGATCTGAGGACAGGCCATTGGGATGGGCCACACTGATGGCAGGAGGAAAAGGCCAAGCTAGGCAACACCCTGCCACCTGAGCCATCAGCCAACCGTTTATTAACTAATATGTCTGTGTACTTATTTTGGACTGAAGGGCAGTGGGACCTGGCGGGACAGAAACTCAGACTACAACACTCAATGACTGTTGTCCCAAACCCACCATCTGTGTGTTTGCTACCTGATTTGGGGCTCTCTTGTCCCAAGCAGAGAAGTAGGAAGAAACCCCTACTCCTACCCCAGGGGGCCAAGGACCGCACAGACCATGCACTATACTCTGGGACATTAACTCCATAACCAGGGTGCACATATGTCCCCATATACTTGGTGACAACATGTATTAGCAACGGGTTACAAGTGGGCCTTGGTCCTACAGAAGGGCCACTCTAACCTCTTGACATGTATCTTTTCTTCAGGTGCAGCTTCCCATGACTATAACACAGCATCCCTGCCATGAGACCACTGTCATAAGGTCAGAGAGAACACAACCAGCCTCTGTTCCAGAGGTCCCAGAAATGGGCATCTGCATGACACAGAATTCAGATTTCCATCTCTTCGTGGCCAGTGTGGGACCTGGGGATCTGAAGACAACCCCTCCCTTCAGTATGAGCTAAATTCTAAACCACGTCCCTTCAGGGCTTCCCCAGATCAGCACCTGCAGACTGTCGGCTCTCTTATCAGTTCATAAACAGCCTGCACAGATGAGTGAAGCAATCACAGGGTGCTATTGAGTTTGCGAGTATGAAGAAGGATGAACTCTGTGGAATGGCATGGGAACCTGGAATTAGAACCACTTGCCTCAGAATGTGACAGCAAGGGCTTTTATGCCATCCCTCTTCCTGGGTACCACACATCTATAAGGCACTCCGGGAGAAGTTTAACACAAGGAACCCAGAGTACTCCGTGCCTGCGTCCACACGGCGTTCAACAGCTTCTGGTTACCCGGTGATGGAGATGGGGGCAGGGGGAAGGCAGAGCATGCACAAGAGCCCCACAGAGGGTGGTCAAGATGGAGCCAGGCAGGATAACCCTGGTGAGAGCTGGGCCAGGTGAGAATGTGTCTCTGATAGACCAGGATCCCTGTCCTTGAACTCTCCTCTGGACCCAAACTAATCGTCCACCATCCTGAATAGGCCAGACCCATGGTCTGGTCTGGGACACAGGGAGGGGTCCTGCCACAGGTAGAGACACCTGAAGATGCCTCTGGTGACAGGTAGCATTCTCTATAATGGCCCCACTCCATCTCCCTCAGGCCTACCTCTTTCATACAGAACCCTCCCATTTTACAATGGACAGTAGCTACTTTCATACCGGCCACACCCTTTCTTATCTGACCTTCAGGGGTATGGACTGAAGAAGAGCAGTCTACGTGGGAGCTTCCTGTGGTCATGCACACGCTACCATCCAGCCTAGTTCAGCTGCCACATGGACACCTGGGTCCTGCAGTTCAGGCGGCCTCTCACAGCCACTCCTGCTCTTGTCCCCCATCTCCACACCTTCAGTCCTGTCCTTTACAATGCACGAGTCCAGTCTCATCACACACTTTTAAGACCCGATGGGAAAGATGGAACTCAGACACCTGAGGGATGAAGGCCACCCTCCCTTTGTGGCACTGCCTTCTGCTTTAGCTGAGCCTACCCTGCCTGCCTGCCCCACCTACCACCTGTCTACCTATCTGTTCTTCTATCAGTCTACCTTCCCTACCTGCCTATCTGCCCATCCACTCACCTGTTCACCTACCTGCCTACTACTGCCTCATCGCCAATCCCTCCCACTCCATCTACCTACTACCTACAACCTTACCCACCTATCCGCCGCCCACCTGTCCACTCCATCTTTCCATCTGCCTCCCTTCCACTCATTCATTCATCCACCTACCCATCCCACATGCCCACTCTCCCATCACCTCATTCCCCGAATCCTTCCACATAGCGCTCACTTGCCCATCCGCCTACCCATCATCCACACTGCCCATCCACACATGCATCTCCAAGCTTGCCCACCTTGCTGCAGCTGCCTGGGAGGCCTAACCTTCCTGACACTCTGGCAGAGTTCATCCTCACCGAAGCCCCAGGCTCCTCCAGGGGTCCCACCCACTGTTGTGTTCCCACCCCCCTCTTCTCTGCACGCTCTTGTGTCTGATAAATCCCACTCTTACCCAAGGTGTCAAAGCCCCAGAGCAGGCCCCACCCTTGCAACCACTCATTCCCACAACGTCCATCACCAGCTAGGTATGTTGTATACACAAAGACTCATGAGAACCTGACAGTCACCCTGCTTTCCGTGGGGTCCCATGGGAATCCCAGCCATGCCATGTGATCTGCCCCTAACACAGCTACAGAGCTAGAGATGGATGGGAAGGTGACTTGGGTATAGATTAGGACAGTGGAATGAGGAGGGGACCT